ATTGATGTTGCTTTGTATTTTTGGCTTCTGTAGAGGAAGGAGACGTGTTTGTTTGGGGTTTTGGAATTCTGGGAAAAGGCCCAAAACTTTCAGAGTCTGCTGTCCCAGAAAGAGTGCCAGCCACATTTTTTGGAAGGTCAGAGTTCAACCCCAGTGTGAAGGTCTCCTCCATCCGCTGTGGACTCAATCACTTTGCAGCAGTCACAGGTAAAAACTTCAAGCTGAACGTTATCTTTGCATGTAAATTCACTCGAGATGTGTTGTGTAGTTGTGAGATTTTAGACATTTTTAATATGCTAACACACATTCTCTTGTAAACACCTGCTAATAGTGCTTGCATAATAAATCCAGCCTGTTTTCTGGCCAGTATCCATGTAAATAGAGGGCTTACTTATTTGCATGAATATTGTTTTCAGATCGAGGTGAGCTGTTTGTTTGGGGTAAGAATGTGAGAGGATGTCTCGGCATTGGGAAACATGATGACCAGTATTTTCCATGGAGGGTAAGAAGCCAACAATACAGCATTTTTTTTTTCTTTTAACATGGAAAAGTGTGGATTTGGTTTTGCAAACTAGGGCTTCCAATATTTTTTTCTGATTAATTATCCAAATGAATCAAAGCTAACCACACATAAATGTTTTCTGAGAAAAGCCCCCAAATGATAACAACATGCTGCATTATTGTGGCAGGTGGAAACATTAAAGGGATAGTTCACTTTGAAATTAATTTTTGGTATGTTTTAGCTTACCTCAAGGGCATCTAAGATGTGGGTGTCTTTGTTTTCGCAGTAGTTTCAATTTTGATATTTTTAGGTCAAAGCCTTCTTGTTTGTCGGTCATATAATGGAGGTCTATGGTCACCACCTCAAAGAGCATGCACAGAGAAGTCCAAATTAAAAATGATTTAATGACTCTTAAATGTAAGTACACACTGATGGCCTAAGACACGAAATGCGGTTTGTGTGTAAAAAACAGTTTTTACCTCTATCACAGATCTGAAGGCACGGGCGCTTCTAACTTCTATCTAGATTTCAGAAGTGTTATCCTTCACTGTGAAGATCTAAACATATTTAGATATACAGAAAATTGTAATGGAAGACTATTTGGATATATCAACAGACAACGTTGATTTTTTTTTTTTTTCGCAACCGCGCAAGAGATCACTTCCGGCGCTTGCGCAGATAGAAGCGCCCGTGCCTTCAGATCAGTTGGACGTGGCTGTGATTACAAGAGGTAAAAACGATATAAATACTGTTCGTTTGCTCACACAAACCGCTCGTTTCGTGTCTTAGGCCATCAATGTGCACTTACATTTACGAGTCATTAAATCATGTTTAATTTGGACTTCTCTGTGCATGCTCTTTGAGGTGGTGACCATAGACCTCCATTAGATGACTGACAGACAAGAACGGTTTGACCTAAAAATATCAAAATTGAAAATACTGTGGAAACAAAGACACCTCATCTTGGATGCCCTTGAGGTAAGCTAAAACATACCAAAAATTAATTTTAAAGTGAACAATCCCTTTAAATAGACACAAATATCCTACTTCTAATGAATTGTTATAAATGAATGTTAAAATGACAACATTATACCAGTAGCTGTTCTTTATCCTGATGTTTGTCTTTTGTTTTAGGTGACGGTGCCAGGCCACGTGAAGGATGTTGCCTGTGGTGTTGACCACATGGTGGCGCTGGTCAAATCCATCATATGAGACTGTCTTTGTAGATCCAGGCTATCTTCTCTTGCACATCTCAGTGACTTCAGCGAACAACATCATGTTTTCATAATTTCTGCATAAACTAATTTCTGCATAAATCTTCATGTCACATTGCATCAAGTCAAGGGTGTGTTTAAGGTAACATAGAAACAAGACACCTCCTCTGCTGTTTACAGCGTGGACTTCAAAAATAGACGCGAGTCTGACACCTAAATAACGCAAGAACGATTAAGTCTTATGTTGGCTACTTGTATTTACCTGAGGTCGACATGGTTCAAACCAAAGCCATATTATCAGTGCTGTTTCTGTTGTTTTTCTTGTAAAAAAACCCCCATGGTTTTAAAACTAAGGAACTAGTCTGAAAACTAGGGAAGGCTACACAAACGATATATTTAAATTAAAGCACTTTTTGGCATATTGGCATGAAATGTAAGTGGAGTTATTGTAAAAACGTGTGGCGGGACTTGCTTTTGTCCATGGGGAATTGATTGGATGGTTGTGATTTGGTGGATCTTATTTGAGTAAAAGGTTCTCACACCAGTTAACGCATCATCAGAGAAAAGTGGGAGTTATTTTAATGATTGTGAAGGAAAAAAAATATGCAAACTGTTAAGTCATTTAAAATAAAAATGAATTATTCTAAATAAATTGAAACATTGAAATAATTGTTATATTCCTTTGTGCACTTATGTCTTCCATTTTTAAAGACAATTTTAAAGAGAAGCAACTTTTAAAGACCCCCTGTGGTTAAAGTTTTCTAATGTTTATACGCATGATTCGTTTTTAATGCTTTAAGACAAACCAAGTGAAAACATTTCTTCCTCTGAATCAGTTTCCTCTGAATCCTATCTTATGGCTGAATTAAAGTCCCCGTGAAATCAAAATTGAACCTATTTACTTTGTTAGCGCATATTACTAGTCTTGTGGTGAACAATTAATCCGTGCAAGTAAATATATATTAAAAAAATGTTTTACCTTGGTAATCTTTAATCAAAATCTGAAAAGTTACTTCCGGTCTGGAACGGTTTCTTTTTCTGATGACGTAGGTTTCACAGCTTGGGTGGGGAAACACTTAACCACTCCCCTCAAACCGTTAGTTTGCTATGAGCGAGAGATGGAGAGGAGGAGCGCTAGAGTAAAACCCTGCCCTCTGTTCAATATTCCGTTTCACTTGGAAATACGTCACAGCACTGGAGAAAAATCGTTTGCCACTTCCGGTTCACGGGGACTTTAAACCAGCAGTTCCACTTGCCGTTGGATCAGATATATTGACCTGCGTATCCTAAATGAGGCAAGGATGTAAAAAAACAAAACATGTAAATGTAATTTTAGTGATCAAAGATGAGTTTTAAGGGATAGAATTATTGACTACAGGTGGACTTAAACTGAAAAATGTGTCGTTGGATGCTTTAAAGGAGTAGTTCACTTTTTAAAAAAAACTTTTGCTTATAATTTACTCACCCCTTATGTCATCCAAGATGTCCATGTCATTCTTTCTTCAGTCGAAAAGAAATTAAGGTTTTTGATGAAAACATTCCAGGATTTTTCTCCATAAAATGGACTTCAGTGGGAACCAAACGGTTCAAGGTCCAAAAGACAGTTTCAGTGCAAACTGCAAACTGTTCGAAGGGTTTTAAACGATTCCAGACGATGAATAAGGGTCTTATCAAGTGAAACGATCGCTCATTTAATAAATAAATAACAAAGTTTAAGATTTAAGCTCAAATGCTCGCCTTGCCCTGTTCCGTGATGAACGTTCGTGACTCTCCTGTTTGAACTCGTTCATCAAAATGAACACATCTTTTTTCATGTCATTTGGTTCATTCAACGATCGAAATGAACGAATTGACTCGGGAAGAGATACATTCATTATGATGAACGAGTTCGAACAGAAGAGTCAGAAGCAAGGCGACCATTTGAGCTAATAAAACTTAGCTATTATTTTTTTGAATGAGCGATCGTTTCGCTTTATAAGACCCTTCTGGAATCGTTTAAAGCCCTTTGAACAGTTTGAAATTGTCTTTTGGACCTTGAACCATTTGGTTACCAGTAAAGTGCATTATATGGAGAAAATCCTGGAATGTTTTCATCAAAAACCTTCATTTATTTTCGACTGAAGAAAAAATGACAAGTTTTTTAAAAAGTGAACTACTCCTTTAAATGTAAATGGCAGACATGCAAGAGAAGACTGGGTCTTAAGCCACTTCAAGAAGAACAAAAGTTATTTAAAGTTATATTAAATTCCTCTATCTTTCATAATCATGTACATTTTTATTTGTACCAAACTGTACTGATAGATCACACAAGGTTATAGTACCATGTATAAAGCAGTTTACATTCTGAGGGAAAAGAAGGGAATAGTTGAAAGTCACCCTCTTTAATGTGCAAGTATAAAGGAACATTTTCTGACCTACACTTTGTGTCGGGACAGAAAAAAGAAATCATCAAGGTAAAACAAGTAATCAATTCATGACCTTTTCTGGTGTCTGAGCTGGTTTAATCAAATCTCCAAATCAATCATTTGTATGGGTAGTTAAAAATAGCTTCAGCAGATATCATCCCACAGAAATCATTTGTAAATCACAGATATGACTAAATCTCTTTATAAACTAGACAACAAATCTGCAATTGGCACATGGTCTAGCTTCGCATGATGTAAACCCCCACTGTACGCTTAAGAAAACATGATTCAAACAGTGGAAAAAAAAACAACAAGGAGTAACAATTGAATAAAATCAAACCTAAATACAAACTAAGCTGAAAGAAAAAAAAAATTGTTTCACGTCTTTAATTGTCAGAGAACAAACAGGTCACCCCTTCTTAACACTGATAAATGTATGGTTAAGCAAATTTCTGCTTCATAGCTGATAGAAGGAAAACTTGTGGAAAAAGACACCCATCCATGTGTAAAGAGCAACAAGTGACCCCTTCTAAAAGAGACTCCTTCAAAGGGAAGATACTCATCCCCGGTATTTCACATCAGAAGAGTAAGATCTGTAAGATAGACCTCAAATAAAGTGCAGACAAGGGGAGCTTGAAGGCCTAAACTAACGCCAGTGTCTGCGACACCCGACCTCAACTAACATTCAACAAACGACAGGTTTCCCCCAACCTTTTCCTCCGTGGATGTAGAGACAGCTTCAAAATACTCAATAGAGCGAGTAGTGGTAAAGAGGCATTTTGTGCGATCGCAAGCGCGCAACGACTCCAGGGCGGAAATAAAAACAATGTCCTCATTAGACCAATTTTTTAAAAACAGTATACTGCACGATTCATGTAATTGTGTGTGTGTGTGTGTTTAACCTGAACAAGTGCATGTGAAAGGTTTCACCTCACCTGAATCCTAGTTTCCAATTGGGTGGACAGAATACCCATTGATTGTACTTTAAAAGGCAAAAACACCAACAACTAATTCATTACCCAGACACCTGGCATTGAAATGTGAATATAAGGATTGAGGTGAGGGGAAAAGAAACAAATGCGGGAAACTTTCCGAACGAGCTTGAAAAGCCTCTTTCAAAGACTTAACTTGTGACTGGAACATTTTGCAGAACGTAAAAAAACAAAACAGTAATACCCTGAACCATCAAATTGCATCCAGAAAAACATCACGTTTTAGACGAGGAGCCTGTTTACGTCCCGTGTCTTGGCACTGCAAGGGAAAACAGGAAGGGGGAGGGTGGGGGGGGGGGACTAAAACTAAATCTTGAGATTCATTGGAGTACATTCTGTGTCCTTTAGGAGTACCTGCAACTAATAGATAATAGTTATTTTGCTATTTGAAGTCCAGGCCCTGTTGCCATGGTAAAATGGCGAGGAGGAGTGGGTGGGGGAGAAAGAGGAGGAGAAAAACACTGGAATCACACACAATCGCAGGGTCCCTGTAGAGGTGCTGGGCAGGGATTAAGGGTTTTCTTTTTTGCAGGAAACGGACAGGAAGTGATGTTGTCTTTCAATACTGACTGCAAGACTAGAGCCCCCCCCCCTCCCCTCCCCTCCCCTCACTTATCCATTCCCCTTCAGATCCTTCTCCCATAACCACCCCCAGAAGCAGTCCTCGGGTAAGATCTTGGCACTTTTAAGAATTAAAAGAAATCTAAATGTTTTCACGGACATGGGACCCTTTTGTCCAATCACCTCACTGTCCTGTGCTCTCATTGGTCCTCAAGGCTCCGATCACGCTCTGGATGTTCTCCTCGGGAACCTGGCGGGTGCAAGATGGCTGGTGTTAAACATTGCCCTTGCTTTCTGAATATTACGAGATGGGAAAGCATTTATGTTTGAATGCTGAAACTCACCAGAGCATGATCGAACTTGAAGGTACTGATATAATAGGCTGGAATGTCAGCGGTCGCCAGCGGTTCAGATATCTGAGCCACAATGCCACATTCATCTGTTGGAAGACAAACGACTTTCATTAGATATTCAACAACCACATCCTCAAGTTTAAAATTGTGCATTTGATCTTATTTACTGAGGTGTACTGTGCTTAGAAGTGTGGTCATTTGCTTTCGGAATTTTCACGGGTGAAATAGCCGTTTAAATAGGAAACCACACAAATTTCACACGAGGGTTCAGCTGACCATGCAAATTTACTGCATTGACCGACCGACTGCTGCTTGGTTTGATCGTGACTTGTGTGTGTGAGCTGTGCTTCGTACATTGCTACACAACTGACAAAAGACGACGGACCTTTTTTTGGTCTACAAATTTGCCCGAACTTTTGCTAATGTGACAGCAAAATGTGTGCAGAGAGCTGGATTTTTACAATCAAATAAAATATGGGTGCTACCATTACAATATGATGGGGCTAAGCATTTGCTAACGAGTTCTAGGGCCCTGTTTACACCTGGTATTAAAGAGCCCCTATCATAGCATTTGAAATGTTCCCAAAAACAGTTTAACATGCACGCAAGGATAAAAAAAAACACTTTATTTGTCTTATAATATGCATTTATTTTTAACTGATTTGCTCACCGACTCCCAAATGATTCGTACAACGACTCATTTTTCCAAACCACTCCTTTGACGCTAATCGGCAGTGATTGGTCAGATGACAGACCCAGTCAGTTATTGTTTGTTAGCATAACGCATAAACATATTGATAAAGCACTGCAGCACTACAAGACGCTCTATTCTTTACGACAACTCCAATAACAGCGACAAACATTTCACATATTTAAAAAAAATTGACATTGGAGACCTAGAAGCTGCGCTGAGTGTAACTTACACACACACACACACACACACACATACTTATTGTGCCTTCCCTCCTTGCGCCCGACGCTTCAAAACCCATAAAAGCAACAATTATTAATAATACTTACAGGTTGTGATTCATAGGAGTAAGCTGATCCATATACACTGGGTAAGTAAGTTACTGAGCCCTCCTTCAGGAACAACCGCTTGCGAATCCACATTTGAATACATACACTTCTGTCTGCGCGCGCAGTAACTGGGCGCGGCCAATGACATCTCTATGCCACGATGTAACAGCTAATGACTCGTTTCAAAAACAATTCATTTCATAGACTCAGAGTCGACTCTCACTTTTGAAAGACAGTAACTTTATATACAGATATATTCAGATATAAATCTTTGCAGGATGTTTTCATTCCCTGAGAGCTATATTCCACACTACATGAACAGTCATTTTCAAAAATTCATGATAAGGGCTCTTTAAGGTGCGTTTTGGCATTTGGATCACAAGAGGATGACACTAAATACAGGTGTAAAACGAGGTCTGAAATGTGTTGAGCTCGTCCACTTCCGGTAGTCGAAAACACATTAGACCGGATTGCTTTCGTAGTGTCAATGTGTTCGAATGTGTTCAAAGAGCCACAAAAGACGCCTACTCTCCGCCTACTGACCTAATGTGAGATTAGCCGCGTTTCCACTGCCGGGCTAAGTTTAACTGCGAGCCGAGCCAGTGACCTTGGGCCTCAAGTACCGGTCTTGCGTTTCCACTGCCGGGCCAGTAGCCCTGCAGCGCTGTCCTAAACCCCGCCCCTAACACGCCTTTCTGGATCAAACGACTTACAACCCAACCCATTTCAGCGGGTATTATGAACTTATTTTTTAAGTTAGGAAGATAGCATGTATATTAACTCACCGGCCGTGGCTGCAATAGTGTACCGATTGTCTCGCGAGTCGCCACTAACATGTGGACCCAGCACATCGTCCATCAATTCGAACCATGGCAAGTTCCTTTTCTGAGCGCCGCTTTGTCCATTGTGCGTTTTAATCGCCTTGTACAGTCCTGCGCCCGCAACTTTTTTATTTTTTCCTGAACTTGAAGTGTTGCTTGCTGAATGCTTAGCTTAGAAAGTTCAGCATCGATGTATTTTATAACGTCCTCGTTTGTTCAAACGCCGTCGCATTGACGTTGTACGCTTTCTTCTGCCCAAACATTTAGAAGAGCTTTGGTATCTTCGACAGACCAGTACAGGCAATTCTCCATTTCGAGCAACGATTATTTTGAGCGATATAAAAAAGTGAAATGAAATCTTTCAGATCATAACGTTCCATAACACCGATAAACTCCGCCTTTTACCTTGAGCACGCCTCTAGCCCGAGCTGGCCCGCTTTGGCCCAAGGTATTCGACGGGCCAGAAATCCTGGCCGTTGGCCCCGAGTAAGCCCCGGAAGTGACAGTGGAAACGCGTCTTGCCCTGGCTTCACTAGCATGGCTCAGCAGTGGAAACGCGGCAATTGAGATTATGGGAAGTGCGCGAGCCAGACTGGATTTAAACTTTGTCGGCTGGAGATCCAAGTTTCGTTTAAAGATGAAAAACGAACCAAGCACAATGTTCTCTCAGCATTCCTGATTTCTAACACGGACAGCAGCAAGATCAAGCCGAACGCTGTGTGAAATGAAAAGCTGATGCTCTACGTATGTTTTTCCGTGGTCTCCGGTCGTGTTCATAGACTAAATAAACTTGCGCAATTTACATATTAGATCAAAACAAAACCATCTCCTCGAAGAAATCAGAACACGAGTGGTTAAAATTGGACAAAATAGACTAAAACCAACTCAATACCAGGTGTAAACAGGGTCTAGGTGTTTTTTAGCACGTTCTAGGTGGTTGATTAATGGTCCAAAGCAAAAGAACCAACCCTCAAATCCTGGTTCCTAGATATTGCTCAGGTCAAAAGGATTTTCATTGTCACAGTAACAGTGGGTCGTTTATCCAGTTGTAGCCTGAACTCACCAAACCCCAAGGGTTGTCCTCCGATGCGGACCATTTTCCAAAGCTCTCCTGATGCACTGGTGAAGAGGACGTTGTTTGGAAACCTGACAAGAAGAGAGCAGCATCTAAACCATAAATAATGATAACAGAACAAAGATACTATACATTTAATTAGTAATTGAAATCAGAAATATATTCATGAAGCAAGTTTAACCACACACAAAGACATGATTCAACAGGCTACAGTATGGAGGGATTTAAAAAAAAGAATATTTAAAGAATAAATCAGATGAAACCACTGCAGACAAAGTGGAGTCAAAAGACAAAGAAATCCACTTTAAAACTCATGCAGGTCCATACATTTCAGTGTATATATAAAAAAGTGTATTTAATACAAACATTCCAAGTCCATATAAAAGGATTTTAGCCATTTTACTTTAAAGGGGTCATTTATATTGTTGTCTGAGGTCAACTTATGACGTTCGCTTGGTTTTTACATTAAAAAATTTCAAAGTGAATAAGTAATAGGCTGTTTTCTACCCTAGTTTTGAGCCTAGCTCAAAAACGCTGGGTTTTTAATGGGCGTCTCGTACTGAAGACTTGGAAGTAAACGCCCACTGCTGTGAGTGGATAACAGTTTTGCATATTATAATGAGTTTCACTCGTCAGTGGATATTTATTGCTCGGTAGCACGATCCGGTTTGTCATCACGAGGTAGGGATCTATGTTATTTAGCTATGCGTGTAATGTGCGAATCGGTGGGCGGGGCTAAACCGTAGGCGTCGATCTTCTTTTTATCATCTTAGTCCTCATAGTTCCGCACACTTTGAAAAATGAGTCGTTTGCTGAGGCTGGTGTCACTAAAAGCTTATATTGGACTAACAAGGACGTTTTCAGTTCTGAAACTTACAGGATATTCTTAAAATATGATGACCTCTTTAGATTTGATTTCTCAGTTCATCACCCCTTTAATTCACATATAAACACTGATAACCCCCCCATTAAATGTTAATGTGTTTTCATGTTGACTTTAATAGAGTGTTAGAGGCAGAGCTGTGTGGTCTAACCTCCGGGTCGTCTGCTCATCCATAACTAGAGAGACGTAGCCCTCGATCAGGGAGAAGGAGAAGAAACGGATGTGTCCAGAATCCTCGCTCTGCCCCCCGGTCTCTTTTGCCCTGTAATAAAGCACAGCAGGGATTCTTGTCATTACACAAGCTTCATTAGAGCTCAGCTGACACTTTTGCAAGGAATAGAAAAAATGGGAGGAGCATGATAAAGGCCACTCTGATCTTATCTTTCCCTCTAAGGGTTGGCCTGATGCCACTTCTCTGAGCTGTAAACAAGTTCATTCACTATAAGGAAGGGCAACATTGGAAACAAGATGAGCAGTGTGTATTTGTCCTGTCTTTTCTCCCGTCGTCACGTAATGCACTGCCTACAGCGACCTGTGCGTGTTATCATCAGTCTCTAATAGATCTGGCAGATGGCTCTCGGTTGCGGCCATATGTGAGCCAGGAGGAGAGGGCCGACATGGAGCTCTTACCCGCCCGAGTAGAACATGACGTCCATGAGCAGCGTGGCCACCGAGGGCAGCGTGTCGGGGTCAAGGCTGGTAACGCAGAACATGTTACTGGGGCTCGAGAGTGGGTGAATGATTGGCCGAGGGACTGAGGAAAGGAAGAAGAAGAGAGTCGTTTATTTTACAATTATGTACTGTAAACATTCAGGCATTAAAGGAGAACTCCAGTGCAAAATGAACCTTTGGTCTAATAAAACATCGGTACCTAGTCAACCGTTCTCTGAGATTTGTTTTCATGATAATCGAATGTAAAGAGTTTTATCTCTAAAAACTGTTTAGCGTATAATGCTAGTATATGGGGGCATTTAATAAGTAAAAAGAAATTGCTAGTTTATACCACTAACAAGCCTCAAAATAGCCCCACACTCACACAGTAACATAATGAGGGTCCGTACATGCAAAACAAAGCATTGAGAACTTTGTAAGTGTACAGACCGTTTAATAAGATACTTTATAAAGACAGTTCACTTCGTGAATACAGAGAGGAGCCATCTTAGAAAATAGTCTCGATAAGTCGATCCCCGAACGCCGTTCATACAGTTCAGATCACTCAGCACGTCGTTCGTGGTTTGACTTATCGAGACTGTTTTCTAAGATGGCTCCTCTCTGTATACACGAAGTGAACTGTCTTTATAAAGTATTTTCTTATTAAACGTTCTGTACACTTACAAAGTTCTCAATGCTTTGTTTTGCATGTAGGGACCCTCATTATGTTACTGTGTTAGTGTGGGGCTATTTTGAGCCTTGTTAGTGGTATAAACTAGTGATTTCTTTTTACTTAGTAAATGCCCCCAGTACTAGCATTGTACGCTAAACAGTTTTTAGAGATAAAACTCTTCACATTTGATTATCATGAAAACAAATATCAGAGAACGGTTGACTAGGTACCGATGTTTTATTAGACCAAAGGTTCATTTTGCACCGGAGTTCTCCTTTAACAATGCAGATCCAGGATGTTTCATGAAGGGATGTATCTGTAAACCTGACAAGTTGTTTAACCCAATGGTGGTCTTTATGCATTTTCAACTGAAAAATGTAACGTCTTTAATGCGGTGACAAATATTTATACTCATATTATTCTATTACACTCAAAATAATTAACATATGTTCATTCTTAAAAAACAATGCTCAAAATAATGCCCTTTAAATGACTGCATAAACAATTTTCCAGATAGGCTGCATGACTTATAACAGATGCAACTTATTACATTTTAATGGAAGTTTACAAAAACAACAACATTCTTTCTTTTACAATAACGTGCACCAAAGAATTGTGCATAATAAGATCAGGAACATATGTTCAGTTGGTCAAACATGACAGCGACAGGCAGAAGCTGATGCCTAACCAGTACCACAGCACACTTTCAGCAGGTGTTTGTTTCTCTATTTCTACTGACAGAATCGAAGTCCAAGTCTGTGCATCATGGTAGTAAAATACGGTCTACTCTAAAGGAACACTTCACCCAAAAAGAAAGAAGAGTATTTTCTAGGAAGAAGATATTGTGAACAATGTTTTGGTGACCACTCAATTCCACCGTATGGACAAAACCTTAACAACAACAACAGACATTTCAAAAATACAGTCATATCTTTCGCTTTATAGAAGAAAAAAGTTTTTTTGAAACGACGAGGGTGAGTAAATGGCAGGAGTTTCATTTTTGGGTATATTTAAATGCCTCTATTATGCTAATTGTGTTTCTTTCAGTCTCCTACAATAGATTCACATGCATCCAAGATCAAAAACACTAACTTTCTCCTAATGTACATTGCAGCATCACCCCTTTTCTCACAGTGTCTCAAACGGTTCAATCATGGATTCGGTCTCTCTAAACCCCTCCTTTCCGAGAGCCTACTCTGCTCTGATTGGTCAGATGGCCCAGTCTGTTGTGATTGCTTATTACAGATTGTCGAAAAACAAAACGACCATCTTAATTTCAACTCTGCTGTCTACCCCATCATTCCTACACACAGTAATATGAACAGTAACAATGGAGTCACTTTTATTTTATAAATTTGAGCCGGTGTTCTCATCTTTTGGATATGCAAGCAAAATGGATGAGCAGAAAACAGCATCTTCTCGAAATGTCGACAAACAAATCAAACTCTTCCAGTCTCAGCTACAACAACAGTGTTTGAGGGTCAAAGTAGACGTCATTTGCGGGCAGCCAATAAAGACCATAGACTCGCATTATGCAAATTTGTTCCAGCAGGGACATAAAAACATGGAATTTCAGACCTTTTACATACACAAACAGCTACATTGCACGCTATATGGACGGTTATATCAGAAAAAGCATAATAGGGGCACTTTGAATCTAGGAAGCATCACTTGGTACTTTAAGACGGCTTGTGTCGACATATACACAGACTAATGGCTGATGGTTACCTAGTTTAGGCTTGACAAAACCATTGGTAACCCCAGTACTGTTGGCAGCAACAGTTTCTCCGTTGACAACCCTCAGCAGAGTGAATTCTGAAGACAGCGTGTGCATGACCATGGGCAGATCCCTCTCTCGAACCTATGGACAGAATCATACACCAGTATTTAGTTTTTATTTAATAAATATACCGGTACTATAAGTGAGGTTCCAGGTTAAATGAGTTCAGGTGTTCAAGGATGGAAATAAATAATCATAAACCATTACAAACATGTTTGCAAACCTGGTTAGATAATAATATACACTCATGATGTACTGTAATATCTAAAATAGAGATGACAAATACCAAGCAAGTTATCTGGAAGCGCTATATCATTCTACAGTAGGGAACTGAACAGAGTACAAGCACAAACCTAATCAAACTTATTTGTGTTTGCATTTGACAGAGACTTTCAGATGTTTCAATGAATGAAAACAGCATGAAAGTTCAATACACAAACATGCACAAGCAGAAATCCTTATATTAGACTCGGCTTCTTTCGTTTCCTTGAGTAACCAAAACCAGCTGACTCAAACACATCACAAATGAACATTCATTTGCATTTCAAACAGCACTACCAAAAGCAGAATACATTACAGTGAAAACAATACATAAGGATGTCTTAAGCAACCAATTCAGCTGAACTATGGGTGCACTAAATGAGCAGCGCACAGCTTTTCAAGGGTAATTATCTATGGATATACGGTTTCCTTGGACTATTTTACGAGCTTATAAAAGCTCTAACAGTTATTACCTCATTAGAAAACTAAATATAGTAAAAAAAATATGTTTTACACAGCTGTAACAAAAATATACACAATACACAATCAATTTTGCTTGTAATATCACAAATATTGTAATAATTTTAACTTGGCTTTAATTTGTCTATTAGGTTTATATTGTAATGGCATCTCGGATTTAAAGTTCAGACGCAAAAATAGTGTTAGAGTTGGTAAGTTTAATTTATTTCTGTGAAACAGTTCAAACTGCCTGTTTTTAGTGAATTGATTCAAAACTCTGATTCAACAATTAGTTTGCATCACTCATCTGTTAAATCTGGGCATATTTATGAAAAATCATTTCTGGTGTTCATTTCGTTAAGAACGTGAGAGACAGAAAGACAAAATTCATAAAAAAGATGTTCTGAATGATGAACGAATGTCTTAAAGGTGTAGTTCACTCTTGAAAAAACTTTTGCTGATAATTTACTCACCCCCATGTCATCCAAGATCATCATGAAACGATCACTCATTTAATAAATAAATAAAGTTTAAGTTTTATAAGCTCAAATGCTCGCCTTGCTCTGTTCTGTGACGCACGTTCGTGACTCTCCTGCTCGAACTCGTTCATCAAAATGAACGAATCTTTTTCAAAGTCAACGAACGAAACGAACGAATTGACTCGGAAAAAGATTTGTTCATTTTGATGAACGCGTTCGAACAGGAGAGTCACGAACGTGCATCGGAGTAAAGAGCAAGGTGACCATTTGAGCTTATAAAACTTAAACTTTGTTATTTTTTTATTTGAATGAGCGATCGTTTCGCTTGATAAGACCCTTATTCATCGTCTGGAATCGTTTAAAGCCCTTTGAACAGTTTGCAGTTTGTACTGAAATTGTCTTTTGGACCTTGAACCGTTTGGTTCCCATTGAAGTCCATTATATGGAGAAAAATCCTGGAATGTTTATCAAAAACCCGACTGAAGAAAGAAAGACATGGACATCTTGGATGACATGGGGGTGAGTAAATTATCAGCCAATGTTTTTTGAGAAGTGAACTACTCCTTTAAGGGGAATAATTAAATGAAAGAATGATAGAATTATTGTTTTTGGTTAAACTAACCATTTTAAGAATCATAAAGAGGCTGAAATATAATATCTGGTATATTTTAGGCCATTAAGGTCAGGCCTTCCCAGGGATGGAAATCTTAAATCCACTCAACAATCTCTTTCATTATTTTGTAGTTATCCAAACAAAGGAGACATCGGTGTGCTAAGGCCTGATAGGCCAGATACACACAGGGATTTCTGAAATGCTCTTAAAGTTTTGAGTAAGCAGGCCAAGGGTTGAGGATGAGAAGGAAATGTTCTCTCCAGTGGCCCAGCACAAGAGGCATGTCATCTCCTCTCTTTCTATAAAGCTCTGTGATTATTCCTCTGGCTGGGAGCATCTGGTGTGGAACGTGAACTTTCCGGTAACTTCCAGCAAGCGGCTGCTGATCCACAGGCTTTATCCTCTTTACATAACTACCTCCAGATTACCACCGCTCCCACATTTCTTGTTATTTTCATAAACAGGCTACGGTGACTGTGCCACCACTAATAGACTGGACATGTGTTCACACAAACACAGTGGAAATGTGCTGAGATGACAGCAGCTGGATTGTGGTCATGGTAGATGGGTTGGTTTAACGAAAAGAGAAGTGATGACTAGCTTAGTATTACTGTATGTGCAGTTTGCTCATCCAAAAGCAATGATCAGTCATAAAGCCATTACATGCCATGTCCTTATATAAAACTACAAGCAACAGTTTCAACTTGTACAATGAAATGGGTAAGCTGTGAATCTGTGTTTTAACAGCAGATAAGATGACATATTCAGACTACAGAAGACAGGGCTTCTTTATATATAATCTATCGCCATAGACTGGCCCATGTATATACTGCCGTTCTATTTCATATGATAAATCATTAATGTTTTTATCCTTATGCTGGTTTTTAGTTCTGTATAATTTCCTGAAGTGTAATTAATGAGGTTAGTCTAAGTGTAAATCCAGAATAAATGACTCCACTCTCTCACATTAGTTATGTTTCTATCCACCTACTGTTATGTCGCATAAAAAAGCTGGACTAACCAACCGATCGGTTTCAATGCACAGCATCTCAAATGTTTTAGTTATTTTCAAAGAGTCCAAGTTTGTCATCAGTGATTTTGGTATAATGACCTTCCAGAAATGTCTCGCATGATCGTGTTCCTAAACACCAGACGTCGAACGCAAGATAAAATGACAGCATTTAGTGCAGTTTGCTTTTCAGTTTGCCACATTTGCTTCCCCCGATTGCAGCAACTTGGATTTTCATTGCAGATATTTTGCGCCAATTTTCCAGGAAATTACGATTTTGGTCTCTTGAACACATGGGATGGAAAAGGTGCTCTATTTGCAAATGTTTTATGCAATATTCAAATGTTTTGCAAAAGTTAAATTCGCAATGTTGGATGGAAACAGAGATACTGAAATGCTTAATCTTTCTCACACACTACAGTTCAAAAGTTTGGGGTCTGCAAATTGTTTTACATTTTAAAGGAACCCTCCGACTTTTTGGGACTTTAGCTTATTCACCGTATCCCCCAGAGTTCTATGAAGCATCATGGTATTACCTGGTCTCTCCTGTTTATTGTCGCAGCTGTTTACAATTCAGCGAACATGATAAACTATGCTTTTACTATTTAGTAATTGCTGACTCTATTACTCAAACTCGGAACGAACACTTTGCTCCTAACCACGGTGCGTCTCTGGTGCTGCGGTAATCACTCCGCCCAAGTAGCAGTGCTTCGCCTTCTCTGAGAATATAATTCCCAATATTTATATGGTTAAAAGATGGCTGTGTCTCATATGACCTTGCTATTTGTGCACTATTATTATTACTACAAATCACAACATGTAAATAGGAAAATGTTTGCGCAATTTTGTCTCTTATTTGGGATTAGTATGCTAGCTGTAGCCATTTACATCCAGTCTTTGTGCTAAGCTAGGCTAGCGATGGGTGCGTCAGACAGTTACAGCATGCACGGAGATGAAAAAGGTATGTATGGACTTATGGGGGATATGGTGAATAAGCTAAAGTCTCAAAAAGTTGGAGTGTTCCTTTAAGTCTCTTTTTTTAGTTTAACTTAATTTATCTGAACAAAAATATAGTAAAAATTATGCAATATTATGAAATACCACCACAATTCAAAATAACCATTTTCTATTTCCATATATTGTTAAATGTAATTTATTCCTGTGATAAAAAGCTGAATTTTCAGTATAATTACTTCAAAAGTTGTCTTCAAAAGTTTGGAGACACTTTCATACTGAATGTTTGTTTCTTTTGATGCTACAATGTAGGAAATTATTTCTGTAGACAAATATAAAGTATGCTTACATAGGAATTTCTCTTTTATCATGTTGTGCTTATCACTTGTACGTCACATATTTTGATGAGGAAAATGACTGAAATGTATTTGGTGGAAATGCACACACTACATAATTTCAGCATTTAATAATTAAGAGTTCATATCTTGCTTTCTATAGCCGAAGCATCTATGCCACTCACCAATATAAAGTCAGTCTGGTATGTTGAGAGCATAAACACCGAGATATTATGGTCTGCCAATGGAGCGATTACTGATTTCGCGATCTTTGTCACTCCGATTGGCTGAGAGCTGGTGGCGCTCCCGCCCCCGGACACCACATTAAGAGCCAACCACGTTGCATCAGCCACACTGAGATATTCAGACTCTGGCAGCTCTGAAACAGACAAAAACAGAAAAACAAGTGTCAAAAAAAAGAACAACAAAAAAAGGGTGGCACATGAGTAATAATGAATGTGTCATTCTGAATATACTAACGCTCTTAGCTTGATCTATCTAAAGGTCTTTCAAGACCCTATGAAATCATGACAGCTTTTTTTCCTGTGTTGATGTATTTGCCATTGAAACAGGAAGTTGGGGTGAGGCATATTGAAAAGTGTGTCTCTTTTGTAAAACAACAAATAAGCTTAAGTTACATCACTGCCCTTGACATGATTTGCTGGTTAGAGGTGGTTTTAGTGAGAGGGACTTTCTGATTGTACATTTGTATTGCAATATTTTATGAGTTTTACTGTAATGTAGTGTAACTTGTAATGCAGACGCTTGCTAAATGTGTGAAGCTGCTTTAAAACGGTATGTATTGTGAAAAGTGTGGGGGTGTTGACAAACTCGTTCTACTCCATCTGTGTTTTAGATTTTCTCAGCTTTTTGTTCAAAATGTAGATTTTTTAAATGAAACTTACCCACATTCAAGTGTTGATTAAAAAAAAAGAATGCTGTTTAAAAGCAGGTGATCTGTTCTTTCATTTGACATATTACAAGTAGACAATACAACAAAATGTTCTTGGGGTAATGAAAGTTGTGAAAATGATCAAAAATGCTACTTAAAAAAAAAGTGTCGGGTTAAAAAGTTAAAAAGTAAATTTTGTTGACTCACAGCTAACAAACACTGACTAATAGCCACAAAGCCTAATTGATTTCCTTAAATTGATAGCACATTGATAGATCCGGGTGGAAAAGCTGTTAACAAGCTCAAATTTCAGGGGATTTTTAAATACCTGTACCTGTTTCGCAACACAGAGCTTCTGGTATCCATGGCAACAAATGGGCTTCACCAGTGTGTAATGACATGGATTCACTCAATCAACAACAAAACCAAAGGCACTGACATCTTAACCCCTAGTAACCCATAATGGAAATGTGTGTGTTGGGTTTGGGGGGGGGGGGGGGAGGTATGGCTGATGGAGCAATATGTGGTCAAACATTGGCAGGGAGTCGAGCTACAAGGAATTATAGAGAATCTGTGATACTTTACATGACTTAATCTTGCCTCGCTGCACTAAACCCAGTGCACTCTTAGTAAAAGAGTAACCACAACACCTACCTTTAAAGCCATCTTCATCCACGATGATGGTGTAATCCTCCGGAGTTTCAGTTAAACTAAAGAACTTACATCTGTGGAGAAGCAAAGAGAGAAAGAGATGGAAATCATGAGCCAAGAAGGAGCAGAGTTAATAACATATTCCTGATAGGCTTTTATAGTCCAACAGCCTCACAAAGATCACTTTACAAGTCTATAGCCCAGGCTTTGGGATTTGAGGGATTACATTTTGTCATTAAATGATTCATGGACGATAGAGGTGACTTTTGAAAGCTGCGTTTTAATCAAACAAAACAATGAGACAAGCAACATTCATATCGAAGGACCAGAAAATCATAGCACACAACTTGGAAACCAGCAAGAACATCTTAAAACCACACAAAAACCTCTGCTCCAAGTTCAATGTATTTATGTTGGATTCATCAAACCTTAAAACTTTCATGAAAAAGTTCAATTGAATATTAAAGAGTAATGTTTTAATATGTGACTGTAAACATCTTAATTGGTTTCAAAAATGTTTTAAAAAAATAAAAAGTAATTTTTGCAAATGTAATGAATAATTAACGGACAAAAGTAACAAATAGTCTTTTACCCAGGCTAAAAAAGTTTGAAACTTTGGCAGACATTATACATAAATGGCCATAAATAGCTGTTTCCATCCAACTATTTTTATGTGCATTTAGGGATATGGCATCAAAAACTGCTGGATGGAATTGCCAAGATGTGCATAAATCTAAAAAAATGCACATAAAAAAACCATATGCACTCATTTACTAAGATGGAAACACACTGACCAAATAAATTCCTTGATGCGCATAAAAAAATGATCATGTGACTTTGTGATGGGATGTCACGGCAATTACCTCCCAGAACTGTTTTGCACGCATGCGTTCACGACAGATAACACATTTATTTTGTTTTGTCTGCGTGCTCTATGACACACGTGATTCATTATATAATTTTGTAGAACAGAAGTCAAAATTATACACTCTTATCCATATACCAGTGGCTGGATGAATGAACAGATTAGACTAGTCGTAAAAGTTAATCAACATTTTTTTTAAGACTATGCCTAACTTTTAAGTTACATAAAAAGTTAGATCTGTCTAATTTGACTTAAGACAGATTTAATTTAAGCATTTATTCACATTTAAACATTGATCAGCAAGCAAACAGAAGCTCAAATGAACCTCATTGGTTCTAGCAGAAGCTCAAATGTGCTGCTTAACACGAGAATGAACCTCATTGGTTCTCACACCTCAAGCAAATACACTTAAAGGTGCAAAACGCAAGTCTCTGAGTTTTTGCAGAACTACGCCCCCTCTGTCTTATTCCGACACCTGGCACTAGACAGAAGTTTTCATTTCTTTGTCTTACGTGGAGTTTGCGTTGGGGTTTGGAATGAACTACAAGCCAGTCACTTTGAATCCATCTTCTACTTTTTTTTGAAAGTTGACTAAAGTTTTGTCGCTCGAGTTGTCTTCGCTTATACGGAGAATGGCGGCGAATACACAAACCTGCCAGACATAGCCAGGCGAGCCTGAACGTCACGCCTAGTCTCACATTTGAGCCCGAATGCATCTTATTTAATTTACTGTACAGGATTATAGAGGCAATCGCAGTGATCAGAGAAGGGCTCATTCAGCCCATCAGGCAATTGTTTAAGCATTTATGGGTTCGAAAAATGGCTATTTTTGACATGAAATGTTGCATAATGCACCTTTAAGCTTTCTTTTACCACAACCGATGAGTGAGTTGATGAATGTAAATGTGAATAAAAGCCTAAATTCAATCCTTTCATATAAAGTGATCGTGTCTCTTGGACTAAACTGCTCAATTCATATGGATTATGATTCTGAACTTTTTGAAGTGTCATTTTTGAACAGAAGAAACATTTTTGAATTGAAGATCTTCTCTGACTCGTGTTTACAAAGTGTATATGCAAGTGTGTTTTGGTGACTGTAGAACTTGGTCTTTTTAGGTTATAATAAATAACAGGTTGTTATTGTTTTGGTGAATGTCTGTTTCTCAGATCATAAAAAAAAGTTTGCCATCTAATGAAAATGCAATGGCCCTGCCCTGCTCACACAGTATATATCTGAGCTGCATGTGCAAGCATAACCAGTAATACATTGCTGCACAAATGCCATGTAACCGCAGCTGGCTCGTAAACCTGCTTGTACACCCCAAATGGCTCCAGATACCAGGTATGAGTAGTCCTTATTTATGAGCCTGTCCACCCACTCATACGGTATCATTTTGCCTCTAGGGGGAAGGCAACGTGTTGACTGGAAAGCAGCATCTTATCTGATACTGCTCAAGTGTTGCTGAGTGACTTTTTTTCAAGGTTTTTGCAAGCTGTTGTATATTTGTGGTGCTGTGTCACTGACTTGACAATCATTTAAAAACCCTTTTAGTCTAGAGGTGAAATGACACAGCATATAGAAGTAGGCTACAGAAAGGTACTGGAGTGTGGATGTCTTTGTATATTTATGTAGTATTGGTTGAATTGTTTTATTATTTCAAGCACTAATAGGAAATTCTTTTCTGGGTCGCCATTAACCAGTGTAAAAGTAATGCTTTACAACAGTGGTTCTCAACTTTTTTTGGACCACCTCCCCCTATCCATCCATTATCCAGGTTCCTTAATAATTATGCGTCTTATTCACATGCTTATTTTCTAATCATTATTATTATTAAATCTGTAACTTTTTGTATTTAAAATGTACAACATTTATGTAATGAGTGAGTACATCATGAATCCATTTCCCAAACCGTGTTTTGTCTTATCCTGAATCACTAAGGTACACCTGTATATGCATTTATATTGGGACCTGTTTAATCCTACGGGTCACAATTGTGACCGCAACTTTTTTCTTCTTTCTGGAAGCTCTAAAAATGTTGTTATTGGGCAAGAAATTAAACTTTTAAATGATAAAATAGACTGTCTTGATTAAAATATATTAAATGTCATGTGACTAGTGTGAAAGGTCACATGACCAGATCAGTTTACTTCCTGCTTGCACATCTAGAAGATGTCTTCCTCAGACTACTACAAAAAGTAGTATGTAAAACATCTTAAGTAATGGATAGAACGATCATATTTTGTACATATATTCTTTAAAGGGTCTACTATGGATATATTTTAAGAATTATACTCCTGCATATATATTTTGCACGTAAGACGTGTACATTTGTTGACAACAGTCACGTTTAGAATAATACAGTGCTTCAATTGAAAACACAGCTTTTGGCTGTTAGTCAAACACTGAACGTATGCCATACCTGTGAGGTGGATGGATTATCTCGGCAAAGGAGAAGTGCTCACTAACACTGATTTTGACGGATTTGTGAACACTATTTGAGAGAAATAGGCCTTTTGTGTACACAGAAAAAGTCTGAGATCTTTGAATTCAGCTCATGAAAAATAGGGGCAAAAACAAAAGTGTTGTGTTTATTATTTTGTTCAGTGTAGTTATTAGCTAGTATCCCAGAAACTTTCAATGTGTTGGACCTTCTAGACTGTACGAGACCTTCGCTGCGTGATCCTAGGGCCCGTCCACAAGAAGACGCGTTTAGCTGTATATAGTATACATTTTTTTTATCATATTAGCGTTTCGTCCACACGGATCCGGCGTTTTGGGAGAGTGAAACAGTCTTCGTCCAGCGCGCAAGGTTTTGGGCATGCTCAAAGTCTTCTTCTCCGTCTAGTGCATCTCTGTGGCAGAATTATAGTGCCCCATACTGGTCTGGCATATATAATACACCGTTTTCAGTTGGTTTCAGTGCTTTCACGTGTTTTTGAGACGACGGATTTTTTTTTAGAATGCGGAAAAAAAAAAATCGGATAGGGAACGCACCGACTTCGTGTGGACGTGGCCCTAGTCAGCGCTGTATTGTTGAAAAAATTGGTTAATAAAGTGAGATTAAATACATAAAATATATTTGTATTATTTAACATATTTAATTATTGCAGGTTTGCATACTGAGTTTGAATTTGATTGTTTTTATTCATTTTTAAGGAACACTAAATTGTTTTTGTGCAAGTGAGATGAGTAAAATGTATGCTCCCATTTAGTCTACAACTACAATTACCATCACGTTCACACAGTGCACACAACGCCTGGGGACACGAGAGGTGTCAGTCATTAAAAGGGAAAAATAACTCAGAAATTGTGTTGTAATTTTATAATGTGTGTTACTTTACTCATTACTTTGAAACGTCATCTAATTCTTTACCCCCAACACTGATCATAACCTAAATGAAATGTGTAAATGAAGGGGCATCTGAACAAATTCGCTTAAGTTATTTTTCCATTTGAAAATCCAACTTTCGGCACCACTAGGAATTCAATGAGCTATGAATTTGAGTCACAGAGTGAAGAGAGAGAGATACAGTGATGGATTACACTGCTTTTATTGCTCATCTCAGGACTCTCAAATGAAAGCGATGATCATGACAGGTTCTTATGCCCTTAAATCAGAGGAACAAAACAAATTTTCAACAGGCTATGACTCACTTGCGCAGAACGTCAGAAATGTGCTCCTAACAAACCGTTTTTGAGGTCTCCAAAGACACACACACACATACTGGATCTGTTTTTAAATGCAAGACCAAATACTTATTGATTCCAATGTTTTCTCTTAAAATTTGCCGCTTCCTTTTTTATCTCCTAACTCTATTTTTAGGTTGTTGGCTGTTTCTGTTTATCAGGTAATGTTGCTGGAAATGGTGATTGAAAAACACAGCAGAAGACCAAATATTTCGACATTACATACTTTGCTACAGAAGACTGTGATACTTTTCCTTTGTTTTTTAATGTAAACACGGTAAACTCGCTCGTGTCTCGCATCTTTTGCATTGTCTCGTGAATGAAATGGCATTTTAAAAATGCGCCGCTTAAAGGAGTAGTTCACTTTTAAAAAAACTTTTGCTGATAATTTACTCACCCCCATGTCATCCAAGATGTCCATGTCATTCTTTCTTCCATGTCATTTTTCTCCATATAATGGACTTCAGCGGGAACCAAACGGTTCAAGGTCCAAAAGACAATTTCAGTACAAACTGCAAACTTTTCAAAGGGCTTTAAACGATTCCAGACGATGCATAAGGGTGAAATGAGCTGCCGTTTTAAAAAAAAAATAAAAATAAAGTTTGAGTTTTATAAGCTCAAATGTTCACCTTGCTCTGTACTGTGATGCGCGTTCGTGACTCTCCTGTTTGAACTCATTTATCAAAATTAACAAATCTTTTTTCTTGTCATTTGGTTGATTCAACATACGAAATGAACGAGTTGACTCGGGAAAAGATTCGGGAAAATGAACGAGTTTGAATAGGAGAGTCACGAATGCGCATCACAGAACAGAGCAAGGCGACCATTTGAGCTTATAAATCTTAAACTTGTTTTTTTTTTTTTTTTTTTTAAATAAGCGATCGTTTCGCTTGATAAGACCCTTATTCATCGTCTGGAATTGTTTAAAGACCTTTGAACAGTTTGCACTGAAATTGTCTTTTGGACCTTGAACCGTTCGGTTGCCATTAAAGTGCACTATATGGAGAAAAATGCTGGAATGTTTTCATCAAAAACCTTAATTTCTTTTCGACTGAACAAAGAAAGACATTGATATCTTGGATGACATGGGGGTGAGTAAATTATCAGCAAAAGTTTTTTTAAAAGTGAACTACTCCTTTATAACAGTAAAAAACGCATTCTGTGTGAACTGGCCCCAAGTCTTTTTTTCTTTTTCTTCTGAGGAACACAAAGGAAGATATTTTGAGAAGTTGCAATTGTTTTTGTTAATTTAATATTAACTTTTTAATCTTTTTTTTTTTGATGGCGTGAACAATGTAGGCATGAACTTGAGTTTATCCATTGGGGGTTGATTGAATTGTGATATTTTATAAACTAGGAGAGTCAACTGAATTCAACAGAACCAACCTTTGAAACATTAAAAAAAATGCTGAAAGCAATTTTCTTGTTTTTTTTTTGTTTGTTTTTTGTTTTTTTTAAATGGTGAAACTGCATTTGGTTGACTGGCGTTTCATTGTTTATTCCTGAGTAAAAAAAACCTGCTTCCTCCATCTGTATCTTGCTGGACAAACAGTGATCCAGCACAACCCGAGGGCTGGCAACAAGGTTTCAAACTGTAAGCAACTATTTCCAGAGCTCCCGTCATGTTGTGCGCATTCTGCACGACTCTGAGAAACTTCACAAACAGCTACTAAATAAGATGATTCAAGCTGTGCCTCTGCGACAGAAAAACGAAAGCATTAAGATGTGTGCCAAGTCAGAAACAATTTAAAGATTCAAAATAAGGAAAAATAGCCATATCAAAAACAGGACTTCTACATGAAATTGTACTTGGATAAAAAAAAGCTCTTAAAATGGATTTCATGGTCTGATGGACAAAACATACAGCGCTGAATACAAAAGAAAACCCTGGAGAAACGTTGTTTAAAGCCAGATGCAAACCACAAGGAGTAATGTGCCACTGCAAACAGAAACTGGATGTTAAAAACAGCCCTCAATTCGGTGATAAACCTTCAATTCGCAAATTAATAACCCTGAATTTGTAGGCAGACCTTGAATGTTTTTGCTGACACATTACTTTCAGTATTTTTCCTTTGGATCACAGGTGATGTCATCATTATTGTTCCAGGCTCTGAGTCATGACAAAACGTCTTTGAGCTCCAAAGAAAAGTTTTCTACTCGAAAATGTCAAACTACGACAAATATTTTATTCAACGTGGCAAACTTTCATAGATTACTTACTTTGGTGAGAATGTATAATTGATTGGTTCAGCATGGCAATGGCAATGATGTCCTCTGATGTTTGTTATTGTGTTTTTGTCTTTCTGTATTTGATATGCAAAAATTTTGACAAAACAAAAAAACAATGTCAAATTACTAGCCATCAACTGATGTTTTATATTGCCAATACTAATATAGCAAGCTTACTTGTCTGATTTTTCTTAATTGCAGTGATACTTTTTCAAAACAAGTATGCCGAACATGACAGCCATTTAAGGGATAGTTCACCCAAAAATGTAGGCTTTTATTAACATATAAACATTCATCAACTCACACATCAGTACGCTTGACATGTGAGAACCAATGAGATCTCGTGTTACGCAGCACGTTTGAGCTTCTGCAAGAACCAATGAGGTGAGCTTCTGTTTATGTTCGCGGATCAATGTTTAAATGTGGATAAAAGTTCACATTTTGAATATGCGAGTCCTAAATTAATATTATGTTCATATAAAGTCATCGATTCTTTCTTTAGAAAAATTCAGACTAAACCACTCGGCGCTCAATTCATATGGACTAGTTTTACGATCTTTTTGAAGTGTCAAAGTGGTAGTTGCATAGCGGTCAATGGAGGGACAGAAAGCTCAGAGTTCATCAAAAAGATCTTCATTTGTGTTCCCGATGATGATTGAAAGTCTTGAGGGTTTGGAACAAGTCGAACGACATTAGGGCGAGTAATTAATGACATAATTTTAATTTTTGTGTGAACTAACCAATAAAGCATCTGAAAAGCCTTGGAAAAGGAGATTTCTGAACGCTAGAGCAAATAAACATGCAAAATAAAAGAGGCCTGAGGGGAATTAGGCCCCTGTTCAAAGCCACTGCTTCTTTTTTCAAAACCAAGACATGAAAACAACCTACTCTGTCTTACCAACCACTTTAACTCTATAGCCAAAGGCCTGAGTTTGCGTCCACAGCTCTAAATGACCGAGCAGGACGTTTCTTAGACTCCGGAGCCGGACTGGAGATGTGCTCACACACTCTGCTTACGCAAACACAGCAAGGGGCCATTGAGACTATGAATAGATGGTCTTTTACAAAGCACCTCATCATCTGAGAGGGCATCAGGATGAGATACAAGGAAACTGCAGAACGTTACCAGCAGGAATGATTGTCAATTACTAAAAAAACAAACTAACAAAAAAAAAGCAATGCACCAAATTCATGCAAATTATATTCAGGCCACAACTTTTCCCTCCTCTTCCAGTTGTTTACAGGTTTCCACCAGCGGCACGGAGTTCGTTTAGGCGGATGTATAGATCAAAACAGGTCAGAATTTGATTAAAGTACTGAAAGCACAAGCTTCCCATCAAGTCATCAGGATCCCCCCTTCAGCTGAATCAAGTGATGCTGCTGAATACGTGATCGCGCACTGAGCATCACAGACGGGGAGATTTAAAGCCACATCCCCCTCCGTATATTTATACCGCTGCCCAAGAAGAAAAACAACCCGATCACGTACACACACCCCTCTTCCGTCGAATGAACTTAAGCAACAGCACAGACAATCATACCTGCTAAACAAAACACCCATGATCGCTTACTTGATGATGTCACGCGCTTCTTAAATGCAGAAATTGTACATTATTGAGATTTAAACCGTAAAGTGCTGGAACTGCCTCTGGCTAAGAGGTGCGTAGCGGTAAGCTAATGTAATTCCGCGTCAGAATCTTCAAGAAAGATATTTAACGGACAGTGGACACAGGTTTAACACAACGCAAACTTGATTCGTGAAGCTACTTACCTTGTTTTAGATGGCAGAAAAGCTAGTTTGATTAATCCGTGAGTGCAAATCTGGATTCCCTCTTTCGCTATACTTGCTACTTTTAAACTGTGCTCTAAAATGTGCAGCTCCATCTTTTGCGTCTTCTCATTTGTGGTACATCTAAAAAAAATATATAATATATATAACTGCCTATTGCGTTTGATAAAAATAAATAAATAAATAAATAAGTAGAGCTTATGGACAGGGCTTTAAAACCTTCAAACGGAGCGGAAAGGAGGGGAGAGAAAAGGAAAAGTTATCTGCCGAGGAAAAGAGAGAAAGAGAGTAAAGCGGGGTGAAATAAAAGAAAGCACAACGAGGTAAACGGGAAGGGAGAAAAAAAGAGGACTGTCGGCCCCCGTGTTTCCACTCCGACAAGGATTGGAATGGGCCAGCAGCTGGTAACAGTGAAACAAACAACCTGTCAGTCAAAAAAGTGGGCGGGACGAATTGTACAGGAAGTGCATGTTGGGATATGTAGTTCGCGGTGCTGCGAAGTTCACCGATGCACACTTTGGTTTTCAAATGTAGTCATAAAATACCATGTCATTTGTTTTTTTTTTTTGTTTTAATAGAAAAACAATCATTTAAGTTTTTCAAAATTAAAATATTTGGCCATAGTAGTGTTTATTTAAGTGAAATGACTAGATGTAGGCCTACTAGCTATGGTGGGGCAGGGCCACAGCTAACATTTATGGGGCCCAGCTAGTAGGCCTACATCTAGTCATTTCAGTTAAATAAAGACTACTATGGCCAAATATTTTAATTTAGGACAACATTTTTATTGATGGGCACTTTCTCCATCAAGCCTAATGAGGTCATACAATAGAGGGCCTAATACCCCCTTCATCACAGGGCTTGGGACAATGTTTGTTTGATATCCAGCATGAAAAAAATGCACTTTTAGCGAGGTAAAAAAAAAAAACCTTTCAAAATTAAAAGCACTGCCTTTAACCAGTCACATTCTCCCTAGTATGTGACTTTTTCTTGAGCTTAACAAAATCCTTCAAATCATTGTGTAACAGATGTGATGTAGCTTTTTCAATCAATATTAAACTGTTCTGCCTTCATCTTTTGTGGGAAAAAATACAATATAGGTGGAACTTTGGTTTCTTTTCAAGATTAAAGATTAGATGTGGAATGAAACTACCTGAGGAAAAAAATACTTCAATTTGCAGAGTTTTAAAACCTGAACAGGAAAAAATACATGACAAGGAAAAAGCACTGAGTAATTTGAATCAATCATGTGCATTTAATAAACATACATAATTAAATCATGACACCCATTAATTTAGCACAGAGTGCGTCATCTAATAATGAAGGCAGAAGTTTAATAATTCACAAGTGCTGACTATTGGTAACCAGGGCCGGTGCTGCAGAGCGTCATAAAACAACAAGTATTCTTTGTGTGCAGCTGTGATAAGATCCCTGGGACACTCTGATCTCTCACAGGGACAGGCATTGTTCAGTTCAAAGGACAGAACTCCTCTTCAGATGCAGTTTCTTTCAGCACTACCACTCAAAACACAGAGCTTTCGGTAAGCTTAAATCACACAGGCGATGGATGGTTTTGTATTCAATATAGTGCATGTTTGCCCTTAAAACCACAGTTTTAACTGACAGTCTTTCAAGGACCAACATGCTTACTTGATCCACTTAAAAGTTATGACACTCAAAATAGCAAATTAATGTTTCTTATAATGTTTGCTAATGTTTCCTAGCTTAGCTTTTGGCCAGCAGTGAAAATGTTATTTGTTGAAAAATTATGTTCTGTAAACTTAGTTTGACTAAATGTTTAAAAACAAAAAGTTTAGGTAATTTCACATCAGATTACATCTATGTTTTGCACCTTTTTCAGTAAAAATTTGTTTTGTATTTTTTCTTTAATAATATACAAAAAGGCTTCAGGAAAGTGCAAGGGGAAATTAACAAGATTAAAAAAATAAAATGCTTAACTGCCATTGTTCAGGCTAAAGCAACAGTATAGACTTTTCACTCCTGAATAGACACCTTATGAAGAAATGCTCAGCTGAAAACTATACTTTAAAACATTCCCCAACGATCAGCAACAGAACATTCAAGCTCACAAATAAAGGCTTAGTTACACTCAAAGGCAGCTTGTCAAAGCAGAAGTGGAGCATTAAAAGCAGTGTTCTGCAGAGAGAATCTTTTAATCTGAACCTCATGACCCACATGAAGCCCTGGGAACCAACCTGCACGAGGCTTTCAGACATCAAAATTTAAAGGGTCATGACATGCATTTCTCTTTTCAATTTTAATGTTCTCTAAGGTTTACTCATTAAAGTTTCTCACAAAAAAAAAAAAGGTATATGCAGAAAAACTATTTTCAACCCTCATTTTGGCCCATCTGAAATGACCCATTCTAAGGGGAAGCTCCTTTTAAGGCTCGTCAGTAAATGTCCAGTTATGAATGGCCATTGATTAAGAAAACATCAACACTCCCATTATTGCATGAGTTAAAGGGATAGTTCACTTTGGAATTAATTTTTGATATGATCTAGCTTACCTCAAGGGCCAAGATGTAGGTGTCTTTGTTTCCACAGTATTTTCAATTGACATTTTTCAGTCAAACCGTTGTTGTCTATCAGTCATACACTGGAGGCTAAGGGGATCCACCAAAAAGCATGCACAGAGAAGTCCACATTAAACATGATTTAATGACTCTTAAATGTAAGTACACATTGATGGCCTAGACACAAAACGAGCGTTTTTTGTGAGAAAACAAACAGTATTTATATCGTTTTTACCTAGTGTAATCAGTGATGTCCAAGTGATCTGAATCAGTTGTGCAATGTCCAACTGAACCGAACTGAATCAGTTCAATGTTACGCCGGAAGTGATCGCTTGCGTGTGACGTCACTCAATATTTACATTAAGATTTTGGAAGTTTTATATTTTACTAAACATATTTAGATATACCTAAACCGTTTTCCATTGCGGTTTCCTGTATATCTAAATATGTTTAGTGAAAGGTGAAACTTCCGAAATCTCTGTATAAACAAAGAGTGACGTAGGCGCGCAAGCGATCACTTCCAACGCATGCGCAGACCGAAGCGCCCGTGCCGTCAGATCATTTTGTCATGGCTATGATTACAAGAGGTAAAAACGACATCAATACCGTTTGTTCTCACACAGACACAAACCATTCGTTTCGTGTCTTAGGCCATCAATGTGTACTTACATTTACAAATCAAATCATGTTTAATTTTGTCTTCCCTGTACATGCTTTTTGGTGGACCCCCTTAGCCTCCAGTGTATGACTGATGGCAACGGTTTGAAGAATGTCAATTGAAAATACTGCGGAAACAAAGACACCTACATCTTGGATCCTGTTGAGGTAAGCTAAATCAAAAATTAACTTCAAAAGTGACAAACTGAACTATCCCTTTAAGAAATCCTCCATGTAAAACTTGAAGCATTATGAAACGGTTTACTTGAAATGTAGCCGTCAGATCCTGTACAGTTCTCTACTTTATCTTGCAACAAACTTCTTTTAACTTCCACTGCCTCATTTAAAAGAACAAATTGCAGTCAAATGCTTCAAACATAGAATAATACAATATTCAAACAAGTTAAATACTTTGTTTACAAGGACGGCGTTTTAATAGTACAAAAGGCCTGTTATAAAGTAATCATTTAACTGCTAACTTGCATGCGCATGCACTATTTGCAAGCTGTTTGGGATTTTACACCAGTCCAATACTTCACCCTTGTCAAACACATTGATGAAAAAAAGAAAAACAAAGCATACAGACTGATTTTGAACTTCATTTATTGAAAACTGCATTAAAACAGAACTCCAAAGCAGCGAAAGGTTTAGTTTCCCACGCAGTATGAGCTCATCAGCACCAACTGTTAAAGACAAAGGGCAATTACATTCATAATCAAAGAGCTAATACAATATATGCCACTGAGAAGGCTTGAAGTATCAGGTGTTGCCCCTAAAGACCACAGGCATTTTATTTAGCAAAAAATGCTGCATAACACCTCACAGGGCACTGATGTGGAATCACTGCGTTGAGGATCGCCAGTGAGGAGAAGTGGCTGACCCCCTTTGAAAGTGATCCCAAGACATGAAATGGCACTCACCTTGTAAGTCTGGCTGGGAAACCCTTCACTCCGAATCAAAACCTGATAAAGAAGAAACAATTAAACAAACCTGTAGAACCTTGCATTTGGAGTTAAAGTGCATTTGTTGAAGTGTTCCTAATAAATCTGACAAACAGACTCATTAGGATGGGTTTTAATTTTTGGTCACGTCCACAGCAAGTCAGGAACCAGATATCCTAAAAGCCTTGGTAATATGACCAAATACATCATGTAACTGGGTATGTTCAAGACCAAAAAGACAAAAGCCTTACTTTTCATTTCACAGCACTGTGTGCAAGAATGACACCCTGCCAGCATTTATTCTTCAATCTCACCATATGGGACCTGTGGGCACAACACAAAACCGGATTATCAAAACACGCTGAGCTATCGAAACAATGTCTCAAGGCTTCTAAAAAGGTCAGGTGGCGGTAGGCTGATATCCTGCCCGGAGAACATCTTGGAGTGTTGGGATGGGGCTTAGTTATGGGAGAATTGACTGCACACCACCGACACTAATCATCATACTACAATGCATGTGAGAAATGTAGAGTTTTTCTTCTTCTTCCGTCTAGTACCAAGTAACCTTTTCTTACAGTGTCTGAAACGGTTCCATAAAGGATTCAGTCTAAAACCCTCTTTTCAGTGAACCTGATTAGTCAGACAGCCAAGTCTGTTCTGATTCGTCTAGAGCTTACAGCTATGGAGGCTTCCTCAGCACTTGACAGTGATCCAATGTTACTTCATGACAATTGCGGTAAAGATGGGAACCATTTTTCCATATTAATTCCAGCACGAGTTTTTTGCAGTGGACACGCAGTGCTAAAAAGTGTTGACACAAAAACGAATCAAACTCTTCCAGGCTCCAGTATAGTAGCCTAGTTTTTCATGTCCTTTAAAATGTCGATAAACTATTGCAAAAATGACATGATTTCCATTAACCAATGTTTTTTTGCCCCTCGCAATAAGTCATTCCAAAAATCATGGTAATGGATTATGGTAGGTTTGTATAAAATCACAGCTACCACACTAGCCATTATTTTTAAATTGAAGCTGTAGGCGTGAAAAGAAAGGAATTTAAGCCGGCCTCGATTTGAGACCAGCTTTAATTTACCCAAACCAGCAGTCACACCAGGCGTGTAAAAGAGACGGGCGTCTTTTTGGGACTCGGCTATTATTTGAAGTTTTACGGTATACTTGGGAGCAGCCACGAGGCGTTGCTCCATTCTATCGCCTTCAAGGTCTTAATAAATTGTGGAATTTCTTTGTCATTTAGAATCCAGTATTCTATTTTTTATTTACGACTTTAAGAACCACCTCTTCGGTCCAAACATGGAGGACCAGCTTTAAAGACTGACTTGCGTACGTCAGGTGACCTGTAAATGAAAAATTGTTGCAGTTTTGCACAATTTTCCTTTCAAATTACCTGGAAAAAAAAAAAAAAAAAAACACTCGAGAGCATAAATTTCTCCATATTGCGAAAGGTTGCTAAATTAATACGTTTCCATTGGGAGCTTTTCAATTCACGATTTGTTGGGTAAAGGAAAAGAAGTTAGTGTTTTGAGGGTCAAAGTAGACATTGTTCACAGGCAGCAAATTAAGACCATAGGCTGGCATTTATTTGTTACAGCATTACGTAGGCATGTAACAGGAATTTCTGTTAACTAGTTTCGGCAGTTCAGAACCTATTTCCTTTATATAACTTTTATAACCCAAGAGATTTTTTTTTTTTGCCTTGCACTTTGATCTTTAAAACCTTTACACAAACAGCTTGTAGCAGCCTATTAAAAAAAATAATAAAGGTCTCCCTGCATTTTTTTCCCCCCCAAACTAAAAACTCAATGGATTAAAAGTTTAGCATGATAGACAATTTAAGAAATTACGACTCCAACTGTAAAATAATTTGAATTTGTGGCTGTGTAAAACACAAAAAACAAGTATTAATATTTGGCTTATTTTAGATCCAATTACAAAAGGAATATTTCTTGTTTTGTTTAATAGTTTGGCAACAACGTAAACATTAATAGAAAATAGTAATTGATAAAAAAAGTAGAATTGTCAAAATGTGCAGCACTACACAAACCTCGTTTTTTATGACGAATAAGAGATTTGGATTGAATGTCACAGGTCCTGCTGAGATAGTCTTCACATTTAGGGTTTCTGCAGGTTTCACAAAGTCACATTTAAGACCATTATGAATGAAATTTAAGACCTATATCACGAAAAAAAAAAAACCCTACAAAAGGAAATGCAGTCTCAATTATTCGAAAGTAATTTAATCAAACTGAACATTCGAAAATCAGCACGAACGGTCCCGTGATTATGAAAACAAGTTCTGTTTTTATAAAATCCCCCTATTCCAAAGCACGTAATGTAGGCCTTTTCATCTTTCCCGCAACTGAAGGATTTAGCGATGACAGTCCGGAACATCGTTTGAAACAATGTAGAACTGGTGTCTTGTCACCGTGTGGAGAACACAGAGCACCTCCGCTTTTAGTTTTGGCTGTGATGCAAAAGCAAAATCCAAATAAGCAAAATCTGATCCAAAAATCGGATTTTTTTTTTTTTTTAAAGCCAAGTATCGCTAAACCTCCATTTCCCCATTGCTGAATAAAATCCGTTTTATGTCTGTGGTATATGAGATACACGCCAATAACACAAAACTGATTGGCTGTTGCATGTTGGTCTATTTTGTAGTCATATTACAGCGAATTATATTTGAACAAGCAAAATGAAGAACTACAGCCACGGAATAAAAATCCCCCAAAACATTCCAAAGCGCTGTGGGAGCATTTCAATGAGATTTACATGGATGTAGGAAAATTAAATCGTTTAAAACGATTTAAGACCTAAAATACAATACTTAAGCAAATTTATGAATTTTTAAGGCATTAAATTGTAATTTTGAAATTTTAGACTTTTTAAGACCCTGCAGGAACCTTTTTCACTAGACCTACTGCTAGAAAATGTGATCGGAAGCAAAGTTAGGAATACGCTGTACTACCCAGTTTTCAAATTAGCAGTGCAAACAGTAGGTGTTATTGCAAAGTTAGGCAACATAGAAAGTCATTGGGTTTTTAATTCACAGTCTACATGTTATGCACTACTTGGAACACCAAATGTCAGTTAACACCATAGAAGAACAATAACCTTCATAATGAGGTCTTGTCTCGACCACTGCCAGAACCAAACAACAGACATATATGGTCCATTAAGAGCAGGTGTCGATGTTCTCTAGCACTGGCATTTGAACATTACAGTCAGACATACAACTGTATGCAGATACCAACAGTGCAGGCTAGTGTTCATATTCAACCAATTGAACATTACGTACCTCTAACACTGCTCCAATCGCCAAAGGGTTGGTTTGCCGCCTAGTGGACATCCTTCAGATCACACCTACAGAGCAGAAATTCACAGATGAGATGTTGCTCTGACAAAGGAAGGTACATCCTTTAAGCTAATTGAATGTACTGCAGTGTTTTCCCACAAAGCTAATGGTATTAGCAACACGGGTAAAGCGATACTACAGACTTTATCTCTGAGGTATTTCCAACGACTAAGCTCTACTGAGAGGAGCCAGTCGGGATAGACCTCATTTAAACAACTTTTTCCAAAATCCATTACAAATAAAATGAAAAAATACTAAGCCTGCCGCAAGTAATCGGATTGTGGTTAGTCTAATTGCAATTAGATAACCCATAAATGTGGTTTAAATTTTAATCAGGGTTTGTCATCCAAATAAGGGAAATATTGAAGCTATGACATAACTGTATAAATGTTATCATATCATTAAATCATATCCTATTTTATTATAAGTTTCATTATAAAATAAGGACTCGCATTGCACTGTAAGTGACATAAGAAACAGTAAAATCATTAACACAGTTATTCGTATGACAAATTTATAATTGTGCTTGGCTTCGCAGACACTTACAACGAATGAAAGTGCTAACATGCAGTGACATTTACCATTTGAAGAGGAATCCTCAGAAAAAAAAAAGCGTTTTTCTGTGATCAGTTCACAGGATTGAGGCAACATTGTGTTTTGGAGCCTGAAAATAAAAGGAAATGTAAGAAAAGCATGGCACATGTACATTATAAGCACACTCAAGGAGTTTTACACTGTTCAGAAAGGCACATACTCTTTCATGGTTCATAAGAGCAGTTGAACATTAAAGGCAATCATCATTACAAAACTCATTGTTAAAGTAGTCATTATCCCAATTAAATTCTTACCCACTGACCCATCTGTTCACAGGAGTGTCATCCAAAACCTGAAAGTACACGGCAGTTTTGAAACTACATGCGAACAATAAAATCAGGCAAAAAAAAAAAAAAAAATCCTATGCTAAACATGTCTCTTCTCAAAAGTAACACTGTTATTTGGTGAGCACAACAGCGGGTTGCAAGAGAAGGGAATTGTAATTTTTGCACTGCACCAGTTCCTAAGCCCACTAGGACTAGACTGTGACTAGTACTGTGCATTTAAACAAGCAAAACAATTCAAACCACTTACCATATTGCATATAATGGGTACAATAGGCTTTAAACCACATGGAGAGTTAAGAACCACCTGGAGGGGAAACAAAAAAAAAAAGGTCTTCATACACTTGCAAATTACAACCGTTGCAAAGACGACACGTCGTGATATCCCAGGCCTCATTGTCATCATTGCAACGGTTCAACAGTGATGAAAGCAAACCTGGTGTTTATCTAGCCACGCAGATAGAGGAGTTTGCCATATTTGATAAACTCCACTTATGATTTTCTGCTTGGCAACTTACAAGACCTGCTCACTTTTTACAAACTTATTGCCTACAAGGACCAAAACCACCCATTATAGATAATACAGGAATAAATCAATTTTTGGCTCACTGTATTGTTTTATTGTGGGTGATTTGGTCTCTTTGCACAGGACTCTAACTTGCAGCACTATTCAACCACGTGGTGCAGTACCGTATACGATACACTAAAACGTAAAAAAAAATACAACTCCCTGCCTTAAACTTATTCAAAGGTGACGTACATTAAACTTAAAAGAAAACAATCTTGATCAGTGAAACTATGAAGTAAGAAATTACCTTATTTAAGTCAGACGTCTTCTTCACACACGCGGTCTCAAGCGAGTAGTTGAATCTGAGAAGGAAGGAAGGAAACGGAAGAAGAACGTCACTTTTATACTGCACTGCAGTAGCTAACTTTACGACATTTTACGGCTCCGCGTTTCTAACAGAGCATTAAAACCAGATTAAAACGGACAAACGTATTTAGAAATATACTACAAATAACCACAGACAGTAAAAGTAAATAACTTGACTATGGCGTATTTGTGAAAAAAAAAAACTGTTAAAAAAAAAAAAAAAAAGAGGTTACATTTACGAGATTTAATTAGATTATTCCTGTGATTTTTGTTCAACAGAAAAAGGTCATCTTATTTTATTCAAGATGAATAATTTTGATATCTGTATGTATTATTCCGATTAAAATAATTGATTATGTTTGGGGAAAAAAAACTCCATTATTAAAAAAAAAAATATATATATATATATATATATATATATATAAGCAATCCATATGATCAGGGTGGTTTGTGGATTTTACAACTTTGAAGAGCACTTTTAAAATAAATTGCCTAAAATGATTTATTAAAAAATAATTGTGGAATATTTTCCCTAACCATTTATTTAATAAACTTGTATACATTTTTTCCTTAGATGCAGTTTTGATATCAACAAAATACCCTTTTGACATGGTGTTTAGCTTTTAAACATAACTTCTCTCCTCACTCATTTTGGAATAATAACTATATTACACACCCAAGAAAAACATTATTTTTAAGACATTGGTTTCAGTCTGATATTAGCTAGCAGTTGTTGAATTCTGATGGTCAGTTTTTGAGTATTACTGTATGAAATTTAAGTGCCATATTTAATATGGTATTGTCATGAAGTCTATTTCTGCCAAAATATTATCTCTATTCAGAAATCAGGGCTCTACACTGCAAGTAACTTTTGTTTGGGTTAATTATGTTTCCCTCATTTGAGTGGGAAAATTTTGGGGCAGTTCTTGGTCGGTATTGTGTATCAAATAAAACCAAAGATTTCATCTGGATATTGATTACAATTGGCTTGCACAGCTCCACTACTTCCTGAACTTCAGCCAGCTCCTAGTTTCCTATCTGCCATTAGTGGACAAACTGATTAATCCAGGTGTGTCTGACCTCAGTAGTCACAAAAACAATAATCAGGCACACCTGAATTAATCCAGTTTGTCCAGTAATGGCAGACAGGAAACAAGGAGCAGGCTGAAGTTCAGGAAGTAGCCTAGTGCAGCTCTGCATAAAGCCAATTGCTGTTTTTGTAAAGAGTCTATTGTGCACTTATGTTTTGAATGTCCCTGTTCTTCATTCTTTTGGTGTGTGTCTCAATTTCTAGGTGTTAAAATTAACTGCAACCTTGTCTTAAATTTGTCATCTGTCTTCATACAAATTAATTTGAGTTTTCTATAAGAATAAATGTTATTGATTTGTTCCGATTATAAAGAAAATTTCATATTCATCAAACTAAATGAATGGAGTAACTCAAAACCCAACTTTGCCTTTAAAATGTGTTTTGAGTCTGTAAAGTTAAAAAAAAAATCGAAAAGCCCAAGTATCTCTGCTAAAGGAATTTATTGTAGCTATGTCTCCTATTTATCTTTGTTTCCCCCCCAAAATTATTGTTGTTTCATGTTATACTTATCAAATTTGAAAATGTGTAAAAGAAATGTCAATGCGAGACACGTGTCACGTGACCTCACGCGCTAATTTTAGCGCCCTTATATTCACTCACGCGAGTTATATCGAAGTAACTCTTGTTTTGACCATTAAACCATTGTGATTGGCATATTTTCTTTTTATGATGGGGGTTTGTTTTTCAAGACGAAGGATATCTGTCGAAACCCACAGATATTGGGCTGCTATAGCAACTTCTCTTGGCCTCGGCTGGCTTGGGACGGAAAACGTCAGGACGGTTAGTGTTCAAATTGACTAAGTAACGTTAGCACTAGTTCGTTATTGAACAAAAGAGCTAGCTAGTATGCTGAATTTAATAATTAAGTTAATGATTATTAAATAATATATCATAACTTATCATTAAGTTGCTAGCAAATCAGAGTTAGAATCACTAACGTTAGATGCATGGTGACATTTAGCCGTTAATAAAAGCTTGATTGCGTCATCAAATAACTGGACACAACTCTCTCTTCTTTTAACTTACGTTAGGAGATGAAAACGTGCCAGCTTGCTGTTTTCCCTTATCTGTTGAACTCCTCAGCTGCAGAAGACGATTATCTCGGCCTGGAGGAACATCTTCGAGAGGTAACTTTACTGTGGAAATATCAACAACAGTCATGTATTTACTAGTCTGTTGTACAAGGTCTAAAGTTATTTTATTTTTTTACATTAGCTCTTTTCTTGTTAAGTTTCTCTCTATGTCACTTCAGTGTTACTTTAACTCAGATTAGATGTTCATGAAGCTGTGATAACCTGCATCTTCTCCATTCTGCAGTTTGGTCGGCACTATTAAGTATTATCACTACAAATAAAACCACATATATCTTTTTTTAATACTGATTTGTATCAGCAGTAATAGAGGGAGATTGTCTACAAAGTGAGAAACAGGTAGGTCTTAGTTAGTTTAGGTCTAATTTGCATAATAAGAATGTTTAAGACATTCTCTATTTGAGAATGTCAATTTTCCCAGGCTGGACATCACCAAAAAAGGTCACTGTTTGGATTTACATGGACAAATAGTCTGATTGGATCATTGTTGCTGTGATTATTATGCGTCTAGCATGTTATACGTTATACAGTTCTTCTAATCCTAATTGATGAAGTGTGCAGCTTTTAATTTCTTAAACAACCATTTAGGAAGACCCATCATAGCCATATTCCAGGATGACAACGTCCATATTCATCATCAGGCTCAAATTGTGAACGAATGGTTTCGAGGCAGCATAAAGAATCGTTTACACATGAATTGGCTTCTCTGAGTCCAGGCCTTAAATTCATTGAAAGTCTTTGGGATGTGCTGGAGGAGACTTTACAGAGTGCTGGACTCTTGCATTGTCAATATAAGATCTCGACCAAAAACTGATGCACCTCTTGACGGAAATAAATGTTGTCATGTTATTTCCAAAAGGTGCATCAATATTTGGTCAAAAATGATCTTGTATGAACAATGGAAGAGTCCAGCACTTTAATTCCAAACAGCTACTTATTTTTTAAAACAACCATTTGCGAGAACTGAATAGAGATTCCCGAACTGTCAAAGGATTTGTGAGTAACTTTAGAGGACAGAAGAACCTGGTCAGAAAAAGTCTTATTAAATGAAGTTATCACTGTCAAATAAATTAATTGCACAAGGAGGGCAGCTATAAAAAGCCAGCAAACAGGTATTTGAAGCTGCTTTTGTCTCTCTGGAGTCTCAAGAGCCTCTTCATGCAGGCTGCATTTCAACCACCTCTAACCAAAGCTCACAAAGAGAAACTTTTACAGTGGGTGGAGAAATAAAGACTCATTTTTAAATAGTTGTGTACACCTACTTATCTTATAGGATGCGGATATCTCATGTGGTGATGAGCGCCGCCGGACACCTTTACATGTGGCAGCAGGAGAGGGCTATGAAAGGACTGTTCACTTCTTGCTGCAGCAGGGAGCCGATGTGAATGCCGTTGACCGTGATGGAATTACTCCACTTCGAGATGCCATATACGCCAAGTACTCATCACATTTGTGTTCTTACTGGATAAACATTGCAACTTTTCCATTAAGGAGCAATATTTGCCCCCTGGAATTGATTTACAGGGGTGTTTTTACCTCTGTACAGGCAATTTTTATAATGACCCTCAGTGGCGGCTGGTGAAAAATATTGTAGGGGGGGCTAAATAATTGGGGGGTCTGGGGGTTCCCCCCCAGAAAATTTTGAATTTAGTAGATGTGATTTCCTGCATTCTGGTGCATTTTAGGCCTTAGGCCATGCCCTTATATACCAATAAAATAACATAAACCAGTCAATACCAATGGTCAAATAATACAGTAATAATAATAACAGTTAATGATAATGAACAAGTTGCATGTTTATTATGCTCTGTGTGCTGACAGAAAAAGTGCAAACGCATAATATTGATAAATTATAATATAGGTAATACAAAAAATAATAGGTAATACAACAATCTAGTTTAATCAATCCCCAGCTGTAGACTACATATTTTTGACAAATTGACAATTGGATAATGGATAACAATGTGTTGATACTCGAGAAAGAGAGGGAGAAAAGGCTCTGAAAGAGAGGGTGGGACAACATTCTTGAGGGTAACACCCAAGTATGAGAAGAAAGTTGATTTTAGCTAGTATGAAACAGTAATCTAGCTCAGAACTTAAAAACATCAAAAAACAAAGCAAACACACAGGTATTAATATTCCTATAACTATTTTAATATCAAATGTGTGTGAAACAGTGTTTATGTGTGTGTGAGTGAGTGAGTGACAGAGACAGACAGGTCAATTACCACGACTAACTTTACATTATTTCCACTCGACGTCATTGGCGCTGCCATTCTGCTCTCATCTGAGGTAAAAAAAATGTCCCGTGGTGCGCGTGCACGATGCACTCCCCTAATCTGATACTGTGGGCGATATTTTCAGCGCCCCCAAACCATAAAATTTGACGACGCTGATTGGCGAAATATAAACTTTTTTCCATAGCAACCGGGGAACTATTGGCTTAAATTACAGCACTGTGGGGCTGAGCGAACTGGCGCCCTGAGAAGACAGCCTATTGGCTATACTACAAAACCAACATGATAAAAGTAACGAAAGTGAATGCAAATATCATTCTGGTGAGTTCAAAACACTTTTCAAAGTAAAACCATTATTAGCATATAATTAACACAGATTATTTTTAAAAATGATAAATTATAATATATATTAAAAAAACAGACAGACAGGTCGGAGGGAGGGCGGCGCCCCAGCGCCCTCTATGGGCGAGCCGCCCCTGATGACCTTATTGAATGCATCTATGTTGTCTTTTATGTCAGACACTTAAGTTTAGCCAATTACTTCAATCCTCAGAATAATACTATAACAATACCATTTTATCAACGTCAACAGAAGCCATCTTTACACTGCAAAGGTGGAACAGAAGCTGCATATGACATGGAATGTTTATTTACACAAACTTTTTAATACTGCTCATGTATTTACACCACAATTGCCTATATAAATTGTAAAATTTAACATGAACATTACATGGTTGGACTTCAATTTTATGATAAAAATCATTGTTGATTAATCAGGGCTGCACATAACTTGTTGGTCTGGTTCTCAAGGGAGCACCTGGAGATGCTGATTGGTCCTCACACTTTATGTGACACACACACTTATCCTTCAAACTGTCATCATTACTTTCCTACTAACTGCTCCCCACACTTTTTTCTTTTCTCTTTAAAATGGTAGATGATGATGATGATAATGTTTTTTTTATTTTATTAACATGAATGGCACAGAAAACAGCAGGAATATTAGGTTGTGGTCACTTTAACACCGCATGCACAGACCGAACATACTGAAACACATCCGGTTTCTTTCTCAACTGTTCGCTTATGGCATAACCGAGAGAATACTTGCCGAGACGGGCGTTTTGACCATTTTGTGTTTGTGTGTGTCCTTTGAAGCACAAGTAAACGTGAAAGAGGAATCAGTTTGGTGCTCTCTCTCTGCCTGGGCGCACATAGATAACAGTGCACAAGTCCAGATTTTCACCTCTTCTTCTGCGTTTAAAATCATATTAATGTGTAAATTGGCAAGACAAAAAATGTCCAAATGATAAACTTTCACTCTATTACGGTTAAACTTAGCAGTTAATCCTCGAATCACATGATGCGTGTCAAACCATGGAGCCTGGTCTGTACGGATCATGGATCAATTGCGATCCCTTGCACCCCTAATTATTAATAAACACACTTATCATCATGATTACTATCTTACCAGAGATGGAAAAAAACACGCTGGTACTCAAAGCGCTTCCCTCTACGTTTTCTGTTGCGCATCGTTTATTTTGACCATGCATGCGCACCTGTGCACCAGTTATGTGCACCCCTGGGAATGATTATTAATATGGACTAATAGAATACATTAAAATGTTTTTGTGTTTGGGGAAATGGCATGTCATATTCTGGCTACACAGACAAAAATGTTTATTGCGGATTACTTTATTGCTTTTTATGCGTTCGAAAATCAAGGCTTCATATTGGTTATTTTAGCTTGAAATACAAGCTTTTGTTCAAACTGGGTCTGGGAATAAATTGTATATAGAAAGGGAACAAAAAACACTGAAGCAGTCCATGTCAATTTAAGCACTCCTTTAAAAACTCATAACAGTAAGTGAAGCTGTCCACACTACAAAATGAATCTCTTGCATAATATCGGCACTTGGTTGATTAAGATGAGAAAAAACAGGAGAGTGCAGAATTCAGTGAATTGAATGCGTGCAGTGATCAAAACGGCCTTTTGAGTTTTGACTAATCTAAACTCCTGTGATTGGTCATTGCATTCATAAGCTATACAGAAACATCTGTTTTTTAATGTATAATGGGTTTTAATGCTCAATGCATAAAAAACAACAAAACACACTTGAATATATATCATGTATATATATTCATAAATTGAATATATATATATATCACATATATCAAGTGTGCAGATCTAAATGTGAAAATGACACTTTCTATTCAACATTAAATTTCACTTTAATCTTGACAGACAATAGATTGTTTAGTGACATTTTTGCCCCAAGTCCCCATTAATTTACTATTAATACTACCCTGTTGCATATCCACATTTACTGATTCATCTTTTAAATCAATAGGAGTCTGGAGGTGGTGAAGTTATTAGTTTCTGCAGGGGCATGTTTGGAAACATCCTCAGAGGAACTTGGGGCTGAGATGTGCTAGTAAGTGGGATTTATGTTTTTATACAAAAGGTACATTTTACAAAAGAGGGCACTTGATAAAAGGTATCAGTCTGACGTGCCGAATATGTTATAGCTCAACTATCAATAATTATAGTCTTCTATGGATTGTGCTTGAATGTGGATTGTGCTTTTCAGTCTTGCATCCCTTGGAGACACAGAACAGATGGAGGCGTTTAAGACGGCTGGAGTCAGTTTGAATGTTTCTGATGTTCACGGCCGAACTCCCTTACATGTGGTGAGGGTTTCTCAGAACTGTTAAGAAAATTTTGTTCCTATGAAGAGCATTTAAGATTGGCTCATCTTCCTTCATTTGCTTTAATAGGCAGTGTGCACAAATCAACCTGAAGTGGTGAAGTTCTGTATCAGCAATGGATCCGATCTTGAGGTAAGGACATAAAGGATTTAGAAGCAATTGTTTATCTGCCAATGGTTTGGGCACACACCATTTTTATTATTATTGCTGTGTAAGTAGGGATATATATAGTACCTATGCTAAGTGACATATCAGCCACCATATCGGTATCGGCCGATATATGTTCATTTTTAATGTTATCGGCCCAAAAGAAAATTTGGCATATATTTAAGTCGGTAAATAAGGGATTATTTCCTTCCGCTGAGACATTTCAGATGCGCGCTGCTTGCCCTTTTAATGGTCAGACTTTTGTTTTTGTAATCAGGCTCTCAAAAATTATTATGGGTTTTTGGCTTTTTCGGTTATCGGTATCGCCCAACAATCTTATATTTGACAGACTGTAAAGTTGCCACCCTGTGGCTTGATAACACCTCTGCACACTGTTCATTGTCTCATGAGGTGCATGCTGGGATGCTTTTCCATTACTCTTGAGGCAGTACCCATATTTGCTGGACACTTTTGACGACTTTTCACGCTCCTGTTTAACTAATTTCAAGAAAATTAAATGAAATTATTTTAAATTTGGTACGTTTTTGTACCAAAGTAGGTACAATTTATTTAGTCTCCAAACATTAAAAGCCTTTCGATCAAAGGGTTTTTTAGTTCATGAGAAAGCCAGATGTGTCCAAACCTTTCACTCTTGGTACTGTAAGGATATAAAAGCATCACTCTGGGTGTGTTCACACTTGCAGTTCAGTTCACTTGGTTTGTTCAGCTCACTGTCCACTTGTTTGGTGCGCACCAGGGTTTGTTTTAATCAAACCAAAAATGCCAAGTGTGAACACACCCTCTATCTCTTTGTATTTTAATAATTAAAAATGATACTACTTCAATCTTCTCTGAAATAACAGCAAAGAGACAGGTTGAACAACAGGCCTCTAGATGATGCTCAAAGACTAGGCTTACAACACTTGGAGGAGTTGTTGAGTTATCCGGTCAACCAGGCCACAGAACAGTGAGGAACAGCAGCTGTCTGTACTTATCAAATGGTTCAAAGGTTAAAGTTAATTGCCATTGGCTCTTTTAGATAATTGATTAATTAATTTTTAAAAGCATTGTTTCAAGGATGGAAAAATGTTTGTTTTTAGACGTTTTTAGAACATTTAAAATCGGTTAATAAAACATTTCTAACATTATTTGTTTAATCGTTTGTATTCAATACTCTGTTGAGTTCCAAGGCTTATTTCCAGTTTGATATTAATCTCCAAGACAAAAAGAGTTGAACTCATTTTCAGGTGTTTATTTGATATGGGTTTCCAGTTCTGAACATGTAAATAGCAAATATAATTTGCCATAGTAAAAAACACACTCTAGATATAATACTTTGAAGTTGGACAAAAAAATGAAAGTAAAATACAGATTCTGGTGTCTGACGGCACTTGATAATGACATTATACAGAAACTCTTGATGCTTTCAGGTGGTCCGTGATATTTTTTTAAGTTGTTGACTAACCCACAATGGGTTTAAGTAAACATATTCAAAGAATACATGAGCAATTTAAGTTGTACAGTGAGTAAGGGAGAAAACACAGCCAATCGGTTTCTTTTTTTAGTTTGAATGTTTAGCACTACCAGATGCCAGAATCTGAAGTTATACAGGCATCCTCCACCTCTGCCATCACGGCACGATCACACAGTGTAAGGAGACCCATTGTGTGTCTTTAAGAGGCATATTTCCAAAAGACAATGTTTTAACAGTGTAACACAGACAAGAATACAACTTATGCCATATGTATCATATTGTTTCCATATTAAAAGCTAATATCAATCTAGGAATCTTTGTAAAGTGAGCGGTGCAAAAACACACGTTACAAAAGAAAAGGCACGATAATTCGGCCATTCGGTGCAAGATTAAGGTGAACCAGGAGGAGGAATATATTGACTTCATCAGAGAACCACTATAATATGCAAACAATTGCCTGAGAGTTAAAAATGATCAAAACAAGACAAGATTTATTTTTTGTAACATGCAGTCACATGTCCAGTCAATGGAGCAACCTGACGGGCAATGCGATAGCGTTCAAAAGTACAAAAACGGTCTGAAAAGGAAGGCTGACATTCTTGTAGCATCCGAGAGCAGGAACTGTCTTTTTACAGAGAAGAACAGCAGTATCAAACATTAAGCAAAGTTATTTTAATGACAGCCCAAGAACATTGCATGCATTTATGCCATTGAGTTTTTGTACAAAAGCAAAAAGATAACAAAAATGTCACAGGAGTGGCGTGCACAATGAACATCGTCAGAGAGCGATAAGGTTGCTCAGTTGGTGAACACACACCGTAGGGGGCTGTATACAGGAGTTTCATTGTTTTTAAACTAATGGCCAACATCTGAAGTCTATGGAAGCTTGTTTCTGCCACTGAATACAAAATAAAAAAGGATAAAGAATGACTTCATTTCACAATTCGGACATTTTTATTCCAGGTTTGGAATTGCGAGAAAAAAAGTCGGAATTGTGAGTTGCAATTACCTTTTAAAATGTTTTATTCTGTGGCGCAAACAAACTTCTATAGAAGTCTGATCTCCAAAGTAGAGTTTCCCTTAAACTGAAAAAACAAAACAAAAAACCAAAAACCCTAAAAAATTCTACTGGTAATTTAAAAAACAACAAAAAACAAACAAACCATTTTGTCAAACATACAGTAATATAATATCTGCAAAACCCACCAACGGCATGCTAAATATGCAATAATACAGAAAGGTTCAAATAATACACAGGTTATAATTTAATGTCACAAAATAACACAACTTGATGAAATACACAAAATTAAAAGAAACGTGTTAAGTGACTTTAACACGGCATTTAAAAAAATATATTAAGTCGTCTTTAAAATGCTAAGGAAGAATAAGATAAACATGCTATTAATAACTCTCAAAACAATAGTAACTTGTAAAAGTTTGTCAAGTCCATTTTTTGATTTACAGACTTTAGAATAAAAGATGTTATGTATATGTATATGCCCTGGCCTCAGAAAGGGTTTCGACTGTATTCTAGATGTAAACAATATGCAGTTCTGCCTTGTTTTGAAAATTGTATTTTCAGAGCCCATTTGCTGCCATGATGCATATGCGTAATAATACATTTACTGAGAGTTAACATCTGTAAACAGCATTCTTGAATACACATAAAACCTCAAAGATAGCCAAGAAAATGGAGAAAGAGAGCAGTAGAGTGTGGTTAAGTATTTGAAGACAGGAACTGATCTCTTGTTGGCTGTGGAAACAATATCTCTCCATTTTCAATGAGGTTGTACAAACACAGGTTGATTAAAGACCCTTATATAAGCCCAAAAGCCACATCAAGCCACACAATCAGACTGCAAGCTCAACACCAGGACACGTACAAGAGATAGAGCAGGTGTGTTAGTTGGGATCAGATACGGGCACCCATCTCTAAATCAGTGGACTGCTGGAGTGTTGATCTATCCATCATCACAGGCTGCTGGGCTTCACATCCACATCAGGTAGGAACGGGGCTTCGCGAGCCTTTCAGTCATTGTACCCAGAACCAGGAAGTTCATTGGTTAACGTGTGCCAGCGCTCAATTTTCTTGTCTTTGTTTTTCAGGCAGTCAAACCAGTGTTTTAGCCTCTCGCCGTTGGCATTTATGCCTAATGAGACTCCGCCTGGAGAAAAGGTGGAAAAGTTCATTAAAACAACCAAAGACTTGAAGTTTCCCGTGGGACTCGGGCCTCAACTATAAGGATAACCTACAGGAGAAAGTTTCAGGCCAGATGACAAACTTAGCACTATGGCCGAATTCCCTTCGGAAGTGAGCATCCCTACGCACTCATGGATGGAGCAGCGCACTTGCGTGTCTAATGTAGCCGTTTGGAACACACTTTGTAAAAGAAGCAATTTAAGACAACACAATGTCTTCATTACTTTAAAGGAGAACTCTGGCGCAAAATGAACCTTTGGTCTAATAAAACATCGGTACCTAGTCAACTGTTATCTGAGATTTGTTTTCATGATAATCGAATGTAAATAGTTTAATCTCTAAAACTGTTTAGTGTATAATGCTAGTATATGGGGGCATTTACTAAGTAAAAAGAAATCGCTAGTTAATACCACTAACAAGGCTCAAAATAGCCCCACACTAACACAGTAACATAATGAGGGTCCATACATGCAAAACAAAGCTTTGAGAACTTTGTAAGTGTACAAACCGTTTAATAAGAAGATACTTTATAAAGTCTACTTTTTGGTATTACCTAGCGATTTCTTTTTATTTATTATATGGCCCCATATACTAGCGTTAAACACTAAACAGTTTTAGAGATAAAACTCTTTACATTCGATTATCTTGAAAACAAATCTCAGATAATGGTCAACAAGGTACCAATGTTTTATTAGACCAAAGGTTAACCTGAAATATTATCATGACAACATAGCATGGTGTCAATAAGCACATGTTCTAACAACATGAATTTTATATTTTAGTTAATGTAAACAATATGCAGTTTTGTCTTGTTTTGGGGCCTAATGGTTACAGAATCAGACTGGTAACCTGAAGGTTGCAGGTTCGATTCTCAATACCAGCTGGTGCCCTTGAGCAAGGCTCTTAAACCTCAATCGCTCCCCGGGCGCCACAGTGAATGACTGCTTACTGCTCCTGGTGTGTGTCTTCACTACTCCTAATGTGTGTGCACTAACTTCGATGGGTTAAATGCAGAGGACAAATTCCATACTTGGCCTTCACCTGTCACACTTTTCACTTACATAATTGTTGCAAATAAATACAGTTTTTAAAATATGCTTTATATGTTCCCTCTCTGCTCTCAACTTTGCCTTCTCTTTTTTTGGATCCTCAACATGACATCATGACTTTTGCATAAACATATACGCCACTTTCGAGTCAGGTGGCGTGTCATCTCTACGCATTTTGAGCTATCCGCGTGTATGCGTATATGTCTACGCCATTAACGTCCGCGTCATTCCGCGTGTCTGTACACGCAGTCAAATCTCCAGTCATAAATGCCATTAACCCCAGTGACGGTTAAGTTTAGGGATGGGTTGAGGTAAGTCATATGTTTTTTTTCCTAGGATGGTAAGGGAACAGTCATAAATGCCATTAACCCCAGTGACGGTTAAGTTTAGGGATGGGTTTGAGGTAAGTCATATCTTTTTTTTACCTAGGATGGTAAGGGAACAGTCATAAATGCCATTAACCCAGTGACGGTTAGGTTTAGGGACGGGGTTGAGGTAAGTCATATATTTATATAACGTTAAGTCAACGGCGTTCATAAACACGCTGAAAGGCGATTATGCATCTTGATAGCACGCCAAAAATGGAAATACGAAGTGGCGTGTCATACACACGCTACTTCATGAGATCAGTCTGGGATCCTGCAGGGAGTCGCATTTACGCAACACATCTACTGTTAAACACCTTTCATACCTATGAAACTTATTTAAACTTACTTTGGATGTACGACAAAAATGTGTGTAATTGAATGATCCTGTTGTTTATTTGTTAACTTGAACTCTGTCGCCATAAAATGAATCGCAAAGACTCACCACCCTGGTTCACATGACCATGAGCGATAAAAAGACTTCTTTGAAGTTACCGTCGCATGTTCGCTTCGCTAACGGACTTGTGGAAGGGCCCTTCGTGAAGGGATTCGGTCAATCACTTTTATTCAGAATGCTCCTACAAATGGCGTGCCCTTCAAGGGTGCAAAAAGGAATTTGATCATGCACACACCTGCTTGCTAATTCAGATGGTCAACTTGTTAAACTTGTCAGGTGAATAGCAGAACTAGAAGGCTTGTGATCAGTACGAATGGGTTGAAAATCACAAACCAATCAGTAATGTTTTCCTTGTATGTCAACATTTATCAGCCGTAATGTTTAGCAAAATAATTTATTGCCATCTTGAACTTTACTGAATATTTATAATAACTATGTGCTTTTCAGCTATCAAGTAAAATATATATTTTATGAAGAAATTATTTGTGTACAATACATTTTTAATGAAACGTAAATGTAAAAATGAATACATTTACAATAAGACATTTCAAATTAGAAATATAAGTTTAAGTTGATAAAAAAAAAATACATTTATAAATTGGGGCAGAGCAAGTGGAAACTTCTGGCCTGATCAGACAAGCAGAAAAAAATCTTTACTGCTGAGCCTTTGGCAGTAACATGCAATTATTCACCACAAACCGTGAAACAAAAAAAAAATACAAATATAGCATAAAATTAATATCATGAAAGAATTTAAGTTTAACAAGACTTGTCCAGTAAATAGGTCCTACCAATGAAATCGTTGGATTTGCCGATGTCATAGTCCCAAACGGTCACCTCCAGGGTCTTTTTGCTGAGGTCAGCGTACTTGATCTCATAGAAAAACTCCTGTTATAGATGAATGAAATTAGCAATTACAAACACAACTGTGCATTAGACAATCAGGCACTGGTCAGGTTAATCTTACTTCATTGAATTCGGGGTTGAGGGTCTTCTTTTTGACCGTTGTCTTGTGCTTTGATTTTTTGTTCTCATCTGGCTTGAGATACCTAAAACACATTGGGGATAGTGAAAGAAAGATGCATTTAGTGTGATCATGTCTTTCACTTTGGGTTAAGTTAAGTTAATTTGGCACAGACTTACTTATGATGCACAGGCAGCAAAACTGGCACACATTTGAAACGTGAAAACATGCAGAATGGTGTTGTCATATGCAACAAGTCAATATGACCACCAGAGGGCGTTGCAGCTCTTTTATATACAATTTGGAGAGCTGAATGAAAAAGCCATGAAAGGATCCACAAGGTTCATTGCAGGATATTTCCACAATTTGCTCTAGGAGCTTTCCTACATAAATGAAAGATTCGCTTTAAAAAAAAGCCCTCTGACTTCGGGGTCATTAAATGTCTCTTTCTGTCTCTATCCCTATCTTCTTAATGAGGGTCCCTTGCTCTTTACCAAAGACCACCAAATAAGCAGACAGCTAATAGACTGATTAAAGAAGATCCAGGCCGTGATCTCAGCTGCCTAATAATCACAGCCTGTGTCCTTATAATGTAAAAGCAATGATACAAATTCCCTCTCATTTATTTTATCATCTAGGGATCTGTTAAACAGGAGTAAAAAACTGAAATACATCTTTTTCATGTTGGTAAACGTAAAACTTGTGAAAGGCTTGCTTCCCTCTCATTGGAACAGTTTTCCTGGAGCTCCTGACATTTGCTCCTTTTACACTGTCTCTATAGTCAACAATTTCAGCTTTTCCTCTGAATAAATAAATCCGCAGTTCTCCTTCTCTATGTAAAAACGAACACTCCAAGTATTCCATAAAACTCGTTTCCTTCCCAAAAAGGTGAACAACATCATCTGCTATCAATCCGGAAAAACTGCTTTATGCATAGACGGGAAAAACAGCAGAAAAAATAGCAGACGGAGACGAAATAATGACACAAATACACAAGATTTGCACGAGCAGAAACAACAAAGGAATCATTTCGTATTCAAAGCTTTTTGTAGAGACAGAATCAAGCTGTTGAAATTGACCAATGGTTGCACATGTAAGAAACAAAAACATTGTCCCCGACTGCTATAATCCCTCAATAAATGGTTGGATTCAGGAAGTGAGGGGAGTTGAGAGCTCAAATCCCTTCTGTGTGCTGAAGCAGAGATCATCGCTTCATTTAAACCAACACATTCCAGTTCTCAAAATACAAAGATTTGCATTTCTCCATATCAAAGACAAAATCCTAAGCTTATGACTGCACTGGTATCAACCGTTGACATAAATGCTTGTGTTTGCCATGGATGAATAGACAAGCTAAAGGTTTACTTACAAGCATACCTGTGCACATACATATACATAGTCAGTAATTACTTAGCAAACACTTTCATCCACAGCGCCTTAATGCTAATTTGATTTTTGCGGTTGAGTGCCTTGTTTAAAAGCTCACTCATGTGGGATTCAAACCTTCAAAATTTTGGTTACACATCAGCACCTTAAAGGAGCAGTTCACTTTTTAAAAAACTAACTTTTTCACTTTTGATGATAATTTACTCACCCCCATGTCATCCAAGATGTTCTTCAGTCGAAAAGAAATTAATGTTTTCTCCATATAATGGACTTCAATGGGAACCAAACGCTTCAAGGTCCAAATGAGAGTTTCAGTGCAGCTTCAAAGGGCTTTAAATTACACCAGACGATGAATAAGGGTCTTATCAAGCGAAACGATCGCTGATTTAAAAAAATAAATAAATAAAAAAGTTTAAGTTTTATAAGCACAAATGCTCGCCTTGCTCTGTTCTGTGATGAGCGTTTGGGACTCAAACTTCAAAATGAACAAATCTTTTTTCGAGTCATGATTCAAAGGGCCCTATTCACTGTGTGGTGTAATTTAAAGCCCTTTGAAGCTGCACTGAAACTCTCATTTGGACCTTGAACCGTTTGGTTCCCAATGAAGTCCATTATATGGAGAAAATGTAAAAAACCTTAATTTCTTTTTCGACTGAAGAAAGAAAGACGTGGACATCTTGGATGACATAGGGGTGAGTAAATTATCAGCAAAAGTTTTTTTTTTAAAAGTGATCTACTCCTTTAAATACAACAATCAAAATTCACCCTATTTTTTTAAATGTATTTTTATTGTTCTTATTTATTCATCTGATCTGTGCACAGGTTGAACGCTTTACAACTTTTTAACCTCCCACTTTTTTAAGGGGTCCTATTCTGCTATTTTACATGTTTGACTTTCTTTAATGTGTAATGTTGCTGTTTGCGCATGAAAAAGGTCTGCAGTTATTCTCTATATCAGTGCGCACTGTTTCTGAACTCCCTGAAACGCCTCAATTGTAGTCTTGAGTTTTATTCCAGGAAAGAAACCTGGTGACGTATGCTGGACTTCTTAAACTGCCCACATCTCAAAATCACTCAACAACCGAACTTTATCACGACTTTAAACTGTGAAAGACCTTTACAAAAGGTTGGGAAGATAGAAGAGTCATATTATTAAACTCATAATAATCATCAGGGTACTGTGGTATATCTAGGTCAGGAACATCTCTTGCACATTATTTGTAAGTTTGAGAAAAACATTAATGTATTCTGACTTCAATGCATGAAAACGTCGTGTCTACTTGTTATACCACAGATTTGAGTCGACTAGCATCACTAAATCCAGAAACAGGAAGCTGCATTTCTTTTGATATCTGTAATTTACATACTCTGCACGGATCTTCTGTTCCACAAAACATACGTTTTCACTAAATCATTCTGATTATTTTACTACCTCTGCACATGAACAGTTGTGTTGTGCTTTTGGTGCAGAAAAAAACTAGTTTTACAAGTGAAATTTCAGCATACAGAACAGTGAAAAGAGGATAGAGAGCGATATGGCTTACGTTTTAACATAGGGGTCAGAGAAGCCATTGGCATCCATGGCAGCGAGATGGGCACAGCGGATGATGCCAACCACTAAGCCAGACTTCTGAGAGCTGTACTTCAGAGAGATCATGATGCGCCCTCGCTCCTCCAGAGACTTGTCATCTGTCTTGTCAATCTGTGTCAACACACAAATAGAAAACAGTCAGTCCAGCTTCTAAGAACTATAAAAAAGATGGATGTTAACTACATAATACAAACAAAGTATTAACTTAAACATAAAATCTAGCATTCATTTTGCAATTCTATGAATCTGATTGCTTTAAGCCAAGCTCAGACTACAGCCTCTTCAGAGTTTCAGAGTATTTTTTACGTTCTTCGTAGATCTCGGTTTGTAGCGAATTCGCGACATTCGTCCATAACAGCTGGATTCGGCTATAATAACTATAATTTTTCACACAAAAAATAGCATGTTAGGATATAACACTATAAGAATATATAACTTATGCACTGGAGAAACAAGGAAAAAGTTGTGAAACAACAGAGTGAAACATGGAATAAAAACTACTGTCAATGTTAGGAGAGTACGAGAACATTTTGTTTGTTGCTGTTGTCAAGATTCATTCATTTGTCAATTAAAGTTTAAGGTCTAACAACTTTGTGACATGAATAAAATCTACATACCTGAGATGGGGAAATGCGTTTTCTTAATTTTACCATTTTGTAAAAAGATTTACCTTGAATGCCTGTTGTCGCTAATTTGCATCATACCTAAATTTATATCTATTCTATATGATATAGACAAATTAACCATCTCAACATAATTTAGCATCAGCTTGGAGCCAGAAATACACATAATACATTTTGTTTTAATATAATTGTAAATAAATACAGGCGTCAAGGGGCTAAGCGTTCACTTTTTAATTACATGCATAATTTTTCCTATTTTACCGTTCTCTCTCCACACACACATTATATATTTGTATATAAATCCTTTTTTAAATTTACCATGCTGTTAATTTCCTAAGGTATTTGATTGGCTTAAAATGATAAAAATAGTCCCACTCTGTCCAATTGCACTGATTGCTGGCATGTCTATTTAAGTGGTGGTTTAAATGTTGGTTTTAATATAACAAACATGGAGTCAACACCAAGAAGGACGAGAAAGCCCGACTGGAACAGTGTTTACTGTTAGCCCAGTTAGTGGATGAACACAAGGCCAACCTTAAAGGAAAATTCGGGCCGGGTGTCGATCTATAGCGTCTTATTAACTCACTGTCATCCATTATCAGCAACACATTTCTTCCCCCTCTTCGTCTTTCTGCCATTTTCTCCTCTGCTAAAGAAACACTTAAGCCTCTTAAAAGTCCTCGTCCGTACGCCTAACAATTTTAACCTTAAGACCTCTTTTAAGGGTTAAGATACTCTCTGAATTACTTTTCTTTACTAGTGAACGCCCACATTTCTAAGAATTTTCTTAGAATTTTGTCACTAGGAGCTACTCTTTGCTTTAAGATTCTTTATGATTACGGGCCCAGTAGTCTAAACCCGGCTCAACTCAAAACTCAAAATCAACTCGGATCAACTCAAAAATATACAGAACATTCTATTAAAACACAAGTGTTGGTCCCCAGTAGATAATTTATTCATTCGCTCAATTAGTTTCATGCACCACTCTCTTCCTTCCAGTGTTTTCTTGTCTAGACACTTTATGACAGAGCAGAATCAGAGGCGGGATCATCGCAACTGTTGAATGTGAGGGAAATCTACTCTCTCTCTCTCAGATCTTTGTGGACTCACCAAAGCCATCAAGCATAAAGTTAATTAGCTGTGGAGGAGGCGTCTCTGCTCTTCCCCCACACACTGCTGTCTCATTTCCGTCCCCACTGGAGATCACAGACTCGCACACACACATACTCTCATACACATTACAGAGTGTCTTCACACAACAAACAATGTTCGTACTGTTTTCCAGCTGGTGGAGTCACTCTCAGGTCTATAAGAGCAGATCCCAACATAATCTTTGTGTCTAAGCGTGAATTAAAACCTGTCTTGTTTGGTTTGATTGAATCAAACACAAGTTTGTTTTCCCCCTTGGTGCAGATCTTTTGGGCAGGTGTGAATACAGCAATCCCATTCGGGTGCGTACCAAACAACCTTACCTGGATGACCTTAGCACACATGTGGTTTTGTTTACACATTTTGGGTCACTTTCAAAAAGGGCAGTGTGAAAGCGGACCACACCAGACAAACAAAAATCAACATTTTATTAGGTCCGGACCAAAGCAAGTGAACTAGCGGACTTGGTGTGAATACACCAAATCTTTTTTCCCCAGTCTTTGTGCTGATCTTACAGGTCAACTTTATAAAAACTTGGAAAGTCTCACATTTTCAGGGTTTTGAGGTATATTTCATTCCTGTCATATTTTTAATTGAAAGAATTAGCACAATAGGTGGTGCTTGCATTATCACCTTTACTGGTCACAGAGGCTAGCTGAAAACGAACTTGCAAAAAATCTACCCAGACATTTGGAGAATGTCTGTCACTATATAACAGTTACAATTCCAGTCCTTTAATTTGATTGGCTAAATGGTGTCCTAGAGATTTTTTTTTTTTCTGTTTGTGACTGATTGTCTGTTTGCGAGCGTTCCGGGACAAACTCTCAACAAATGCTTTAGATATAAAAAGACGGTGCACTCATTTCATTATCAATGGGAGAAAGTGCAATGTGCAATAAGCCGGAATAAGTCCCGCCTTCTAAATAACAGCCAATCGCCGATTGGTAAAGTCATCGCATCACTGCAGCAACCATCAGAAGCTCTGGTTGCAATGGAAACGGTCAAGTGTTCTAAGATGCGTCCTGGCCTTACATTTATGACCACACGTGTGTAACCCCTCCGGTCCTACTTGCCCCGCTCCGAGTGAGACTTGAACCGGCGTCTCCAGCATGGAACCGGCAACGAGGAAGCTAAAGACAGCAGTCTAGCATTAGTCGCAAGTGCGCCTCTTGAGATCAGGGGAGTGAGATTTACCTGCACAGCTCTCACTAGCTGGCCTCCATTACAAATGCATATTGGCAGGTCTAGTCTGAAAAATAAGTTTTTTTAACACTACTTGCTGATTAAAGAACCCCTATCATAGCATTCGAAATGTTCCTATTTTTGTTTTGGGAGTTCCCAAATACAGTTTAAGGTGCATGCAAGGATAAAAAACACTTTATTTGTTTTATAATATGCATTTATTTTTACCTGATTTGCTCAACGACTCCCAAATGATTCGTTCGACGATTCATTTTCCCAAACACCTCCTTTGAGTGACGCGAATCTGCGGCGATTGGTCAAATGACCCAGTCAGTTGTTATTGGTAAACCGTAGGCAGAGACTGTCGGCAACGGAACGCCCATAACCAGGATTATAGCTTGTCAAGTGTTGAAAATTTGTATACAGTGTATGAACAAACGTGTCAGAAAAAGTGCACTTTCCACACGGTCCCTTACTCGTGTGTCCGTCAAGAGCGAGCTTTCCCTGCGAAACTCACATTGCGACGGCTTTTGAGGGACAGTGCTTATTATAAAGAGCGAAGTCATATTTGGCTAAGTCGTTTAGGAGGTAATTGCCATTTCAGTGAATGTCTGGTGTGTATCAAAAACAAAAATAACTTTTCCCCGCTTAGAAGCTGCGCGGAGTGTACACAACACACACAACACAATAACTATACCATATTGTGCATGCTACAGAAAACATAACGGCAAACATTATTAATATTACTTACAGATTGTGATTCGGAGGAGGACGAACCTGATCCATATACACTGGATACTGAGCCCTCCTTCGGGAACAACCGGCTTGCGAATCCACATTTGAATTAATTTATGTTTTTGAATGATTCGTCATTAAAATGATGAGAACACAATCGGGCTATACTGTTGTGGTATCGTTGCAAATATGAACTCTAACCACCGATTCTTCACATGCTCGTCCCTGGGCAATGAAAACAACTGGCTGAACTGTCTTTGCAATGTAGAACACAGCGTCTTCTCGACATGATGCGATTCAGCTGAAGTATTTGAATGTGTTCTAGACTTCAAGTTTGCACTCCCGTCTGCGCGCGCAGTTGTTAGGAGCGGCCAATGAGCTAATGTTTTTTATCTACGCCACGACGAAACAGCTAATGACTCGTTTCAAAAACAATTCATTTCATAGACTCAGAGTCGACTCTCACTTTTGAAAGACAATAACTTTATATACGGTGCACTTTCAGGTATAAATATTCGCAGGGTGTTTTCATTCCCTTAGAGCTATAGTCCACACTACATGAACAGTCATTTTCAAAAATCTATGATAGGTGCTCTTTAAGTAAATAGGACTTGGTCTTGGATGCCCGAGGCATTGTAAATGTGGCCACTGAGTAAACTGACTTTCCTCGAAAGGGGCTTTGCTGTCAGTCTGTGCATTATTGGTGGGAATTTTTGGATTTTCTGCAGGTTACATATATATATATACACTAGTAAGTGGTGACAAATGAGCGAGCCATTGGGTGTGTTTACATGCACATTCGTAAACTGATTATGCTTAGTAAGCTGACGTGTGGGTCACAAATGCGTAAAACCTTATATTGCTTTTTAGGTCATAAACAGCTGAATAACAAACCAAGAGACAGCAATATTTTTGCTCATTACCTCGATTTCGCTATTTAACCTGCGTTCTATCAGTTTAACCTGTTTTTCAGAGCAGCTAGAACATATAAGGCAGTGGAGATCCTAGCAGAGCTGTGTGATTTGTGACATGTAACAGGAAAGCATGGTTTCTGCAGATTCAAGCACATTCAACCAGAGCAAGTGTTTAGCTGTAGGGGAGGAGGAAATATATCTTTCTTGACCCGAGAAAGGATAAAATGTGTTCTCATTTCGTGCAGCTGAAGGAGCAGTGGTACAGTTTTAGAAACCGCAAACATTAGAGGAGAATGAGTCTGTACAGGTTTCCCACTGCCATTTTGGCATACTCTCGAGTTTTTAATGATATATTTAACATCACAACTCATAAAACAATAAGAATAGTCTGCTTACGGTTAGATGTCACCAATGTCAACCATACAATTTTTCTTTAAAAGTCTTGCATTGAGAGTTTATGGATTGCATGTAAACTGGTAAAACAGGTCAATTTAAATAAATGTTTCATTTTTTTTCATTCATTCAACTGATTAGTTAAAAACAGGTTAATTGAGGAACAAAACAGCACTACATTGTGTTGCTTGGATACGTGTATTAGTCAGTTCTGCTTTGACTTTGTTTGGAACTATTTTCATAAGTAAGTGGCAATATTGTGTCTAAAATATGAACCGTTAATTAAACTGTTATATAAAAGCAACTTTTCACCGTCTACTACAGCCAAATTCAGAACAACAGAATTTTTGCTCATCTGATATGGCTCAAGTAGAGGATATATGTATGATGAGTAGAGGACAATGTAAATCCAGCTGGTTGTTATCATAAACGGATTAAAAAACCACCGCAGAGTGATTCAGAGACACGAAAGAAGCCTTTGTTGGGGAATAACAGATCTTAAAATGTTGAGATTGACCAATCAAAATCAAGCGTTTCAGAGATCTGTGTAAAAATAGTAATAAAAGCAAACAATTCCATCAATTCAACTTTGATTCAGTTCAGCTACTGAAAATGTCTAGGTTTTTTTTGTTTTTTAACTCTTGAACTCCACCCAATACCTGCTCTTCCTGTCAACCCATGGAGCCCTTTGAGATGCCTTCAAACCTACAACCACCACCCTTAAATGAAGACATGTCTACAATGAAGTGTATTGAATTGCTTTCCTCAACGTTTTGCTTCAGTCTCCTGCCAGAACATATAAAGCAGTGTTTTGTGCTGATCCTAGCAGAGCTGTGCGCCTTAAGGCACGGCGAAGACAAAAGACTTCCTGCTGAGCTGGGTTTAGTTTGTGACTCGAGTGCCTTTCAGATAAAAGGTATGACCCAGGTATACGAACAGACATGTGCCTTATGGGTCATGGTTGTCAGTGAAACAAAAATGCATTCCCTCGAGGTTGTGCCAGGTTTTGAATCGAGGTGCTCTTAGTCAGGCGATACAATATGTCTATGGTTGTTAGTTTTCCTCTGACAGGGAGCAGCTTTATCACATTGTGCTGGTGTTTGTAATCCTGTCATGTTCGTCACAGATGGTTGATGGATGTGAGGATGTTGCTTCAATGATAATTGATTTCTAATTAGTATGTTGATTCTAATGAGAGTCACTTTGAACGTCCTAATCAATTAGGTATCTGAATCTCTTTATGCAGCTTTCAAACTTCCCTCATTTTCTTCATCAATCACAGACAACCACATTGATGATTAGCACAACTGAGCTCCTTCCGTCTTCACACTGATTCGTTGGACAGAGTTGAAGTGTGTTACTCACAGGAAGCTGTTTCTCCAAACAGTTGCTGAAGCTCTTGGTCTGGTTGGGTTTGAGTTTCTTCAGGGGGATTCGGGTTTCGCCGATGAATTCGTTGTGGCGGAATTTGTCCTCGTCACACACTGAAATCCTAAACGAAAATAAAAGATTGACATTATCAGATCTGGATTGTAGACTCGCCATGAACTACACAGCTAGTTAAAAGATTTGTTAGAACTCTTTCTTGCCATGGTTGCCAGTCAGCGCCAGCAGTTTTGATCACATTCACAACATTTTCATGGCCCCAGAATATTTTTCTGTAGTCATATATAATGTCAACTTATCAAAAGAAATAACAGACACTCATTTTTTTCTATCAGGACTTGATAAATATTCATTATTTCAGTTTAGAACTGGTTTGGCCCACGTCTAAACCAAAATAAGAAAAAATCTACTCAGTTCAGAGTATGTCCACATATCCAGTCAAGTGCTGAAGTTGGGCATTGCAAACTGATTCCCCACCACCTGTGTTTCATTACATTTGGATAAACACTTTATCTCAGTCAAATACATAGTGTGACCAGAACCATTTATTCAGTATATCCCATATATTCCAAATTCATAGCAGAAGCTCCATGGGAGGATTTTGTGCTATCTCTTCATGTTCATTTGCATTGAGCTCGCTCACTGTGAAATGAGTTTTCTGTGCTATTTGCAGTATCGGCAAGAACCACTTGATATGTGGGGGTAGAAACAAAGGCACAGCTTCTTTTAGTTTTGTACAGGTCAATAATAACATTTGACTGGATACAGATGAGTAATTCACACACGAAAAAGGAACATTCTGCTGATGTCTCTCATTCACAGCAAGAACAGATGGACAGAATAACAACAAATCCATGTGTTTAAAATGGTGATGAATTGGTCAACAGCAGAAAGAGACAACTGACAACAGCCGGTATTGGAGATGTTGCCGCAGTTCTTCTGGATTTAGTCGCAGAACAGAGGAGAGTCTGCCGGCAAAAAGAGAACGTGACAGCCCGTAATAAAACAAGAATCAACATTAGCTTGGCTTTTTGGAGATAAAAGCGAGAACTGAGGGATTTGAAATGTTGTAAACGCGACATGGAGATGGCGTTTTTATTACTCAAAAGGAGAGTAAGGTATTATATCTAACAGAATCGTGTCTATTAATGGGTAAAGCTACAGAAACGTCTTCAGCTAGCCAGCTTGAGATCCTTTCCATCTAAACTGGTTATATCTCTTAAGCCTAGTAATGAATATTTTATGAGCAGTGAGTAAGAACCATATTCATCCGCAGTGTCACGCAGAGCCAAAGCACCACCAAAACAATGTTCTTCCACAAAATGCATGCAGTTTGCGAACCACTATTAACCTGGCTAACGCCAGACCACGCATCATTGAGAATGAGACATGGACTGGAAACCACATGTTCATTTTCTCATATTTGAGGCGTGGTTTACGAATACCCAGAGCCGTATTATTGGGTCTACCAAATGCGCCTGTAAAATTTGGATCATGGTGTCCAGGCCACCTAGCAGTGCGAATAAAATCATACTGTGGCAAGGCAGCATGGGGAAACCCAGGCTAAACCACTATAATGTCAAGCTTAAAAAACATATACCAAACACACCATAAAAGTATACCTTGAAAGTAAATATGAATATTGGTCTTCTGAATCTATATCATTTGAGGGACAGACCAAAATGCAAGTAATTTACTGAAAATACGGTCTTCTGTAAGCTCTCAAATCTCTTTGAAGCTTTTACACATTCAAAGCTGGCACGTCATGACAAGCACGAAAAGAAATTCAGTTTATGTGTTTATTCTCCTATGGCTAGTGCCATCTAATCAGTTCTCCTATATGATCCGAAGGAAGGCCTTACTTATTGAAAAAAAAAGAGAAGAAAAACAGGCAGGTTCTATCCAGTCCATTTCGTCTCTCACAGCAGCAGCACTGATCCAGACAATAAAATCCAGATATATTTTCAGTCAAGACACGTTTACTTGTTGCAGTTTCAAGGACTGGCTTAATCCTCATGCTTTACACCTCATAACATGACTCATTCCTCACTAAGACATATCATAAAACCCCATGAGTTAGAAACAGATGTGCAAGCATACAAGGCACTTCAGGTGAATATTAACTATTACAGAGTAGTCTGTAATAGTTTATATCTAAAAACGTTTTCATACATGTGTAGAAAATAGCCCCAGCCATAAAATACATCAAAAAGACTAATGCAGAAAGGGTGATTCTAGGATTTCAGCCTGAACGGTGGTGTATTTGGTTGCATTTTATTTCATTATCAGATGAGAAAAGAGGAGCAAGCATCTGAGAGCTGTGCTCTCAGCTGAACATTGCAACCCAATAATGGAAGGATAATACTTACTGAACCCACAACTTGAACGTTTTCAACAACTCAGAGGAGGACTCAAAGTTAAATAACCTTGTAAAGATTAACCTAACCTAATCTTAAAGATTTTAAGGGGGCTAAGATGAAACACTAAAGCTCTAAAAATGCCAAATCCTTCCCCAAACCACATTATTTCCATTGCATCAAAAATGAATTCCTGAACGCTTATTCTATTCCCATCTGGAAGTTAGATGTGTTGTTGTAACACACTATCGCTAAAGCGTTCAGCATGACTCAGTAGTTCAGCTCTCCAAAGACTTCAGTCATGTTTCAAGTAAACTGGCAATCACGCTTTCTTTCCCCTGTTGATAAAGGTCTTGAATGAGGCACAGGGCAGCTGGAGGAGCACTCAGGCATGTCCAAAAGGTCTGCTTAATAAAGCCACTTTACCCCTGTTATGTTACATGTGGATAGGATTGTTTCCCTAGACCGCATTGCTCTTTATGCTGTTTCTAGAATGGCTGTGTTTTGATTGTACCTGACTATGAAAGTGTGTATGTTAAATGCCAGCTGTCCTCTTTGATAAACGAGCAGGGAGTTCATTTTTGTTCAATGCAATCACAGTAAACTGTTTCTTTGTGTGAGCTGGATATATTTGTGCATGGCCTTGAATTTGCAGAGAAAATAATGTGGGGTAGAAAAGTCCAAATTAGTCAGATGTAAAAGCAGTGGCGCTTAAAATACATTCTAAAAATAAATAAATATATAATTACTGCAATTAATACACAGACACATTGTTGTGATCTTGTTTATTGTCTGTTTTGGGTGAGTTTCAGTTTAGTTATTGTTCTGTTTCTATGGTTTCACATTGATTTGATTATGTGTCACACCTGTTGTTAGTTTCGTTGTTTCATTCACCTGTCTATTTATAGCCTTGGTTTTGCTTCAGTTTCGGTCCGTTCTTGTCATGATTAAATTGGTTGTTCTGGTCAATGTGTTTTTTGGCAGTGTGCTCTGTGTCTTATGTGTTTAAATAAAATTGGACCGATGCGAGTAAATCCAGCCTTTTATTATGTTTTGTTCACAACCAACGCTGACACACATACAGTACTGTTCAAAGGTTTGGGGTTAAAGGGTTAGTTGAGGTTAATGGGGGTTAATAGTTAATAGTTTTTTATAGTTAATGGGGTTAATAGTTTGGGGTTAATGTGTTTATTTGTTCTGCTGAACACAAAGGAAGATATTTGGAAGAACTGGTAGTCAATGGGAAATTAGATCTGTTTGATTAAAACATTCTTCCAAATATCTTCCTTTGTGTTCAGCAGAACAAATAAACACATAGAGGTTTGGAACAACATGAGGGTGAGTAAATACTGACAGAATTTTCATTTTTGGGTGAACTAACCCTTTAAGGCTTTTCTTTGTTGTAAATTAATATCTTTTTTCAGCAAGAAAGCTTTAAATCGATCAAAAGTGACAGTAAAGACATTTACAATGTCACAAAAGTATTTCTATTTCAAATAAATGTTTTTATTTTGAACTTTCTATTCTCTTGAGTTAAATATATTAATGGGAAGTAAAATGTGAGAGTTCATGAAGATGCCAAATTATAATGACATCCAAAAAATGTAATAGAAATTGAGATCAGGCATATTTTGAGCTAAAAGAACGCTTAGAGAAAAAAATTGCACATATGTCTCGTCATTTGAGATTGGAAGAGGACAGGGTTCCTGCTGTTAAAAAAAGATTTTCTAATGGCTTCCTATTGTAAGTTGTTTTAATATGCAAAGATAAATCCTGTTCATTCATAAAACAAGAAAAATAAGAGGTCAAGCACATCTAACTGTATTTAATTGTCTGTAAACTTTCCACCAAATGCCTTTGCAAATAGTATTCTTAAAGCACAAGTGTTAATGGCTTTCTCTGGTATAAAGGCATGAGAGGTGTGCCACTTGTGAGGGTAATTTGGCTTTGAATAGAGCTGTCACTGTCTGAGATGTTGGCAATGGAGGTATGCCTTTTCAGATAAATCACATGCTTTCATAGCCACAGGAGGAGTTCGGCATGGCCCGCCACTAAAACACAGCTTTGATGTTCATCAGTGGCACATGAAGATCGCCGGCAAATGAGGTTTGCTGAATAATGGGAAAGACCGAATGCTAGAGTGAGATAAAACCTCACAGCTCCATTGTGTGAAAGTGTGAAAGACTGAATCCTGACATCATGTACATGTCTGACTTGCACTCTTTAGGAGAAGCTGTGGGTCTCTTTGTGAAGCTGTCCATAAAGTTTTCCCTGCTTATGAGATTCTACATACATCTGCATATATTAGATTTCCTGCTCCTATATTTTTATTTTCCTAAATAACATGGCTCCCAATATCCTCAAAAACAAGGATTTAAACGTTTGATGCCAAGAAATCATTGCTTTGTGAGTCACTGCCTTCTAAATTGTAAAAGCAGTTATATACTTTCATAAAGAATTGTCTGTCATTTATACAGTGTGAGTATACAGTCTGATATATGAGACATATTTTTAAATTAAATAATTGGCGTCTATATTGTCACTGTAAACCAGGGATTCTTAAAGTGTGAGCACGGGAGATCAGAAAAAAAAAACCTGTTGTAATGGTGTTTAAAGGGATGCTTCACCTCTGGAAAGATGAATGTGTATTTAAAATGGGTCATTTATGTAGAAGAAATGTGAAATTATTTTTGAATTTTGGAGTTTTCTAGACTGAGAAAAGCCAGAAAATGTATTTTTGGCTTATGTG